TAAAACCACCCCGGTGTCTTCTCGCACGTGCGCGCGGGGCCGCGGGAATCCACATTCTTCCGCAGCCCCACACTAGTGCTGGCCCGGTCTGTCCGGGCCTCGTCTCTAGCACGGGGTAGTGAGGTGTTCGACTACCCCGTGCATCCTCTTAGAGGCGCGCGTAGACACCGCGCGCGCCTTCGCCTCGGGTCCATCGGATAGGGGGCGGGGACTTCCCCAAGTCCGTCGCCCCTGGACCCATTCATGGGGGGCGGAAGAGGGCGTTATCCGCCCTTCTTCTGCGCCCGGTGCGTCTTCTGCGGCCTGGGAAGGGAGTGGAGATCTCCCTCTCCCGTTCCGCAGCTTCCTTCTGCGACATCACGTCCTCGCAGAAGGACACCACCGCGTCCCACGACTCTGCGCTACCGACCATACTACGAACCACGGCCGGCAGCGACAGATCGCCTCCTACTTCTGATGTGAGGGCACGGCGCTGCTCCTCCCAAGCCACACACTCGGCGAGCGTGTGTTGCGCCGTGTCCTCCCCACAATGGACGCAGTGGTGGCACCGAGCGTCCGGCTCCCTGTCTATGCGACACAGGTACTTGCCGAAGCAACCGTGCCCCGACAATACCTGTGTCACCCTGAACGACAGGGAGCCATGCCTTCTCCCGAGCCAGTCGTCGAGTACTGGCCGGATCGCCTCGACGGTAGCGAGGCCGGCGGTAGGGCGCAGAAGCCTCTGCCGCCATTCCGCCACCAGGACCTGACGGAGCTCCTCTCGGCGCCGCGCGATCTGCCGCTGCACCGGTCTCGAGCCCCGTGCCCGCTCTTCCTCGCGCCATCGATATAATGACGCGAGTACTTTCGCCTCTAGGTCCCAGGGCGGGGATCCGGCCAGGACGCAAGCCGCCTCGTAGGAGATCGTGCGATACCCGCGGACGACTCTGACGGCCATCGCCCTCTGCGGCTTCCGCAGAATGGCGAGAGTACTGGCCGTCATGTCGAGCGCCCACACAGGGGCCCCATAGAGGGCCATGGATCGCACGATTCCCACATACAACCGCCTACAGGCGGCGCTCGGGCCCCCCAAGTTGGGAAGCAACGTTGAAAGCGCGCCCGCTGCACCCATCAGCTTGGGCGCCAGCCGCCGGAAGTGGGGACCGAATTCCCAACGGCTGTCGAGCACCAATCCCAGGTACTTCATGGTGGACTCGACAGCTATCCGGGCCCCACTGACCACGATGTGTGATCCCGGCGCCGGCGCGCGTCGGGGGCCATGAAACACCATGGCCTCCGACTTGTTCAGGGCCACCTCCAGGCCCAGGCGCCGGATGCGGTTCACCACCTGTGACACCGCAGCCGTGGCTATCAACGTCGCTTCCCTGTGCGAGCTCCCCCGGGCAGTGACAAGCGTGTCGTCCGCGTAACACGTCAAGTCGGCGCCCGACGGGAGTTCGCCTCTCAGCACCCAGTCGTATCCGATGTTCCACAGGAGCGGTCCCAGGACCGATCCCTGTGGGACACCGCACGACGTGAGGCGCCGACCGGCACCGTCACGTCCCCGATAGGTGACGCATCTACCTTCCAGGTAAGCCCCTACTGTACGGCGGAGGTAGGGAGGCACACGATGGTAATGCAGCGCCTCCCGAATACAACTCCAGGGCAGGGTATTGAAGGCGTTGGAGATGTCCAAGGACACCGCCAGCACAACCCCACCCCGGGACACCGTTTCCTCCGCCAGGGCCCTCACGCGCATGATTGCATCTATGGTGGAGCGCCCCCGACGAAACCCAAACTGGTTCTCGTCTAGGTTCGGCCCCTCCCTGCACAAGTGGCTGACGAGGCGATCTGCGATAATACGCTCAAAAAGTTTGCCCGCCTCGTCTAGCAACACTATGGGCCGATACGCGGACGGCGAGTCCGCGGGGCGCCCCTCCTTCTTGAGCAGGACCAGCCTCCCCTCCTTCCACACACTGGGAAACTGGCCCCGCTCGAGACATGCCGTGAAGAGCCCCCTCAGCTGGGGCTCTAGCTCCTTCAGAGCTAAGACGAGAGCTCGACCAGGAACTCCGTCGGGTCCGGGCGCTGTGTTCTTGGCCCGGAGTCGCGACACGGCCGCTCTCGTCTCTGCTTGCGTCACCTCGGGGACATCGGTGCTCTCCTCTTCTGGAGAGTCTGTGGCTGAGGGCGAAGCCATCGCCGGGGGAACGTGTCCCGCTCGCTCAGGGAAGAGGGCCGACACTACCGCCTCTAGCAACTGGGGTTGCATCGTCTGGGTAAGTGGAGGCGCCCAGGCCCGCAGCTTGCCCCGTGCCCAACGGTAGGGGCGCCCCCACGGATCCCGATCCAGGGACCCCAGTAGCTCTTCCCTGGCACGCGACTTTGAGTCGCCGATGGCCAGCCACAGAGTCTCCTTGGACGCGCGGTACACCTCATACAGCGCGTCCTCCTCGGCGGGATCCCGTCGACGTCGCCTCCGGTATCGAGTGTACTGGCGGCGAACCGCAACGCACTCGACGCGCAGCCGCGCGATCTCTGCGGTCCACCAGTACACCTGGCGCCTTGCGGACTGTTGGCGGACGCGGGGCATGGACGCGTCGCAGATCTGCGTCATCGCCCCGCGAAACCACAGCGCCACCGCCTCGACGTCGACGGGTCCGTTCGTCGCCGACTCCCAGGTCCAGGACTGGACTAAGGCAGCTTCCTCGAGTAGCTCCTTGTCGATGCGCTTAAGCGCCCAACGCGGGCCGTCGTTAATCGGGGTTGTTGGATGGCGGCCGCTCGCGGTCTGGGCGGAGACGTCGAACCGGATATACCGATGGTCCGACAACGTCTCCACCTCCACGGCGACACGCCAGTCGCGGACTCGGCTGGCGACAGAGGGGCTAGCGAACGAGACGTCCACTATCGAACCGCCCCGCTGCCGCACGCACGTAAATTCCGAACCCCGATTTAGGACGACCAGACCGGTCGTCACCGCCCACTCTTCCAGCACCTCGCCCCGAGGGTCAGTGACCGGAGATCCCCACGCCGATGACTTGGCGTTGAGATCCCCAAGCACCAGAACGGGACGAGGGTGATGGCGGCCTACGACGGCGCCCAACTCGACAAGGAAACCCTCAAAGTCGGCGAGACTCTTGTTGGGGGAGAAATACGCCCCCACAACGACGATACCGCCCGACACCGCAGCAACCCAGCCGCGGCCCCGAGACGGGTCGATCAGAGTCTCGCCAATAATGGCCACCAAACCGTCAGCGCACCCCAACCAGTTGTCACGGTCGGGGATGAAATACGGTTCGGCGACCACAGCCACGTTGATCGACCACTCTGCCATGCTCTGGAGTAGGAGATCCTGAGCTCTGGCACAGTGGTTGATGTTGCCCTGGAGGAAATGGAGTTGTGCCATTATTGACATTCCATTCCCTCGGCAACGGTCCTGGGCCGGGAGTCGGCCGCGGAGCTACTAGCCTGCGGGGGGGTCGAGATCTCCCCGGCAGGCTGAGTGCCCCTCTTCTTTTTCTTCTTGGCCTTGCTGGCAGGCGCACCACAGGCCCCTCCGCCCACTCTGTGTCCCGCTGGCTTCCCTGCAGCCGAACACAAGCTGCAGTTGAGCGCCGCGGAACACTGGGCCGCCTTGTGGCCAGGCTGACCACAGCGGTAGCAAAGGTCGCTGCGGTCAACCTCGGCGGTGCACTTTGCCCGGACGTGCCCCTTTTCCAGGCACCGGAAGCACCGCAAAGCCCGGGGCTGCAGGAGTTTGACCCTCGCTGCAACCCAGCCCACCAGCAATCTGCCACTATCGGCGATCTTCTTCGCCGTCGCCACAGGGCACCGAACCCAGACTACGCCGAGTCCGGTAGCGTCGGCGCGTATGTCGCCGGCCCGCACCTTGTCCGGCGGACACTCACCGCTTCGGGCAACGGCCGCCACCACCTCCTCAGAGGTCACGGAATCATCCAGGCCAGCGATCCGCACCTCTGCGGTTTTCATTGGCCTGGAGACCCGGACATCCTCAGTGTTGAGGACCTCCCTCAGTTTGGCGGCCAGAGCGTCCGCCTTTTCGGCACTGCCGCTCTCAGCACCGGCCACCTCAAACAGCCGCGCACCCGTGGCAGCTTGCCTGAGGGCGACGGACTGAAGGCCAAGATCCGACAATTTGATCCTGGCCTTGGCCTCGGCGATGACCGACGCGTACGTTACGCCGCGCTCCGCCGCTCCTGGCTGTAGCGTGAGCGTCACAGCTTCGGATCGCGGAGCATGCAGCGTCGGTCCTTTGCGACCACCTTTGGCAGTCCGCCGCGCAGGCTGAGCAACCGCCTTTGCGGTTCGGCCGGGGGCGCGTGCTGCTGCTGAGGCCGCCTTAGCGGCTTTGCGGGCCTTCTTGCGGCCCACGACTGTCGCCCAGTTCTCACCCTTAGACCCGGCAGTCGTGGGCTGATCGCTCGGGGGAATTCCCTCCGCGGGCTTCTTGGCACCCTCCGCGGGCTTCCCCTTGCGAGACGCAGGTCTCGGCGGCTCCTCAGTCCTCCGCCGCGCATCGGCGGCTAGAGGCGGACGGATGATTTCCGCAGGGAGGCGCCGAGAAATCGCCTCAATACGAGCGTTCATCATGCTCCCGCACTGGAGCAAGCAGAGTCGGACAATGCGCTCGACCTCGTCATCGGTACGAGCGCTTGCCGGTCTCGGTGCGGGAGCCGGGGCCACCACGGGTGCGGCATCGGTGGACGTGCGTCGCTGCTGCTGCTCGCTCAGCGCAGCGACTTGCCGCCGGAGGTCCTCCAAATCATTACGGAGGCGGCCGTTCTCCTCCTGCAACTTCGTGACCTCGTCTGAGGCCGTCCTGTTGAGGAGGGTGCCAACCGCCTCCTTGATGTCCGCGGCAGCCTCCTTCAGACCGCGGGTGAATGTGCCCTTCAGGCTGCCAGATTTGGTGGCAACCTTCAGGACCAAGTCCACCCCGTCCAAGGCCAGCTGACTCAAGGCCACCGCGGATGGCTCCCCTTCTGCCGCTAGAGCAGCGCGTCGCTCGCGTGCACGTCGGGCCATCTCCGACACTTCGTCGGCCGCGACGGCTTTGCGCTGCTCCCTCCTGGTGGCATTGAGCTCCGCCTTGGAGCTCCCAAGCGAGGCACAGCTCTCGCCACCAGGGTCCTCTGTGGTGACCCCCATGTCACTTTCTGCTTCGCTGGCCGCCGGGGTATTGGAGCGCAAAAACCTCCCTTGCGCATCCCTCCGCGGCCGCGAAGCAGTCACCCCCTTTGAAGCCTGCCGACCTCTCCTCGCGGTCGGCAGCTTCGGAGCCAGCAGGCATTCCTCATCTGAGGACAGACCCACTGACCCATCTCCCACCAGAGCAGGGTCGTGTGGACGCTTCCTAACGGACGACGATCCACGCGACCCTCGAACATCCACGAGATTTACTCTCACGTCCAATAAGTGGCTACCAGTAGCATTATCAGCAACAGGGGCCTGGTCGCCTACCCCTGCGCGTCCATCGGTAGCTAATTTACCACTCGCAGGCCCGGGTACCTGCGAGCGCCGGGCGTCAGCCGGGTCGCATGACAAAACACACTCGTTATTGTCCGACATTTCATTAAAGGAATTGGGGGGGTACGCACATCGCTTCCCCAAGGCGATGCGGCCGCTCTTTTTGGGAGGGTATTTGGTCCTCCCGAGGCCCGCGGACGCCTCCGGTGCAGGATATACCGCCCGCTGTTCGGTATTTACAGACTAACTTTTTTTTTTTGGTATTTTTTATAATTTTGTATTGTTTTCTTTTGTTTTTATATTTTTTTATTTTTCTCTTTGTATTTTATTTTTTTTTTTTTTTTTTTTTTATTTTTTATTTTTTTATTTTTTTTTTTTCTAACCTAACCTAAAATCTAACTAAACCTACCCTCCACCCGGCACCGTGACTCAAAAACCTCGCCACGATGCCCATAGACCGCGGGTTGAGGAGCAACCCACGGTCTTTCCCACCTCGGTCCCCGCGATGTACACGCTGCGGAGACCCGTAGACCGCGGACTGAAAAACGGCACGCGGTCTTCCCCACCTCGCTCCCTACTCGTGCACTCTGCAGCTGCAGAGCGCAGATAGGGAGCCCTCGGGAGCGACTCCTCCGCTCCGGCAGAAATTCGCCACGGACAACAATCTCCTCTTTCCCCGCCACCCCGCGAAGAGATTATTGTCCGTGCCCAGGGTGCACCGGCCTAGCGACTGCTCTTCCCCCCGGACGTATCCAGAAGGGACCAGCAGCCACCGAGCGCACGAGGAGGTTTCCTGCCCTGCACCCCAACCTAACCTAACCTAACCCAACCTAACCTTACCTAACATTAATTACAATTACTTCGATACATTGCAATGGTGACAAGATGCTATTTTTTTCGAAGTAGTTGTTCAATCTAGTACCTATTAATAATTTTCTCGAGAATTTTGGATATTGAGGGCAGTAGTGAAATATAGGTCTGTAGATATTTACTGACTCTTTATTACCTGATTTCAATACAGGAACAACAAAATAAGTTTTCACAGTTTCCTTTCACGGGATCACAGGATCCCGGACCTTTTGAAGGTGTACGAGCGGCCGAAGTCAACTCTCGCAGAGGCCCGTTGAATAACTTTACCTTATATAAGTGAAATGGGACATCAGCCGGCAATTATCCCTGTATGCACTATGAAAGTGCACCCAAGGACAATCCTCGGTTGATGCAGGACTAGATTAATTGAAAGGGTTATGGGTATGGGTTGCTATGAACTGGTGGATATGATAACTATGGAACTGCTATGGCCCCTGCCCCTGACCAATATTGATACATACGGATAAACAGGCAGGGGGTTACTGGCAAACACAATTAATGGGCCCCCGGAAACGGCCGCTAGCATGTAGCGACACGGGGGCAACATACGTTGAGCTGCTTGGGGAAGAAGAGGCATCCCAATGCTATCAGAGCAATCCCTGAAGTACGGTCAAGACCCCTACCAGCACCTTACTGAGATACATCCTTCCCCCGAGTCTCCTTCAACTCCTACTCTTGCGAATCTCCACTCAAGCCAGCCAATTAAGGCAAGAATGAGGAAGGAGGGCTATTTCCTCATCAGTGTTCACTCCAGCTCGTCACGAGAACTAACCGGAAAGAAAAGAACAAGACACCTCCCGGGAGTCAGGTCCGTGGGGTCGCCACTGCCCAACAGCTCGCCACAAGCTGCCTTGCGGATTTTTTATTATTATTTATTATTATTATCCACCGCGTGAGACGGCAATGGGAATCGCCGGAATGGGGATCGCCGAAGTACAACGCCATACCCCCGTGGCCGACCCCTTCTTTTGATCGTCTCGTGAGACATTGTGTCTCTTTTGAGAAGACCAAGAAAAGGCGGATCCGGAATGCAGCCGATAGCACACACACAGAGACACTTCACCATCCAGGAATATATAAAGACAAAAAGCGCTTACACCCAGACAGCCGCGGAAGCAGCTACGGCTAGCTGGAAGGAGTTCTGTACAAAACAGGACCGAGAGAGTATGTGGCATGGTATTTATAGGGTCTTAAGGAAGACAGCCAGGACACAGGAGGACGTGCTGCTAATAAACACCGCAGGCGAGACACTCAGTCCTGAACAGTCAGCAGATCTCCGAGCAATAACTTTCTAACCAGGTCGCCTAAAAGACGCCGAAAGGCCAGCCTTACCACACAGCCCTGAGAAAGCTTGCAGAGGAGTAGTTTCCCCAAGGACTGTCTGCAGATGATCCGATGATAATGAGTAGCTCTGTTTATGAACAGAGACAAAGAAACACTGGGTATAAGCTTCTGCATAGGTTCGAGCCGACCTGGTGACCGTATAGACATCTCGCCGGGCCTTGCCGCCCTAATCAACGAGAGCACCACAAAAGCGCAGATGAAAGGTAACAAATACGCTGCCCTGCCCCAAGTGTCGATGCCGCTTAGTGGGTTTCAAAGGCAATCGCACTGCTCGAGTGGGGAGCGAAGACTCCACTTACACACGCCACTGCAGCATTTTACAGTATCAAAACATGTATAAATACAGGTCTCTGATCACGTCAGAGGAGCACCTCGGCACCGACAAGGTAGCCCTTGAAGTAGGCGACTCTTGTTGGGGGAAAAATTCGGCCGCACAATGACAACGCCGCCAGAGACTGGAGCAAGCCGCCCGCGGCCCCGAATCCAGTCTCGCCGGTAATGGCGACCAAACTGTCAGCGGATCCCACACAGTTATTACTGGCAGGAACAAAAACTGCCATGCTCTGGAGCAGGAGATCCTGAGCTCTGGCACAGAGATTGAGGTTGGCCTGAAGGAAATTAGTAGACGTCCAACCTTAGAATCGAATTGATTGCTCTACTAAAGTAAATATATGTTATTGTAATGACCTGCCTAATATAATACTGATCCAAGTGGCATTGGTGCATTATAGCTAAGGTCTATATGTGCAGCATAGCTCGTACAATAATAAAAAATTTTTGCTTTTTAACTTTTAAATAACAGTTTTTTATTGATGTAGTTATTTATTATTGAAACAGTTTTTCTTTTCTTTCTTGGCTTGTCTTCCCTTCCTGTTGTACATGTTTGGAAATAAAAAACAAAGTATTTACATATTAATTTTATTAAATTATTGTTGTATGAATTGATGGGGTAATTGAGGAGTCCTGCTGAATTGGGGAATTAATAAAATAAGTTTAACTAGTAGTAAATTCAGCAGAACTCCTAAATAACCATGTCGCACGAATATTAAGTAAATGACGACAACTCTCACACCGCCCACTACGAGCAAATATTTTACTTACAGAGAACATACTTGTAATTTGCATTGTAATGCGGACATTCAACGAATCATTTATTACTTATTCATTACAAGTAAGCGGAGACCGACGACCACGGTCTCGAGTGACCGCCCTGGTCACACGAGACAGTAGTCGTCGGATCACGACAGAAGTTGTGTGAAAATGTTCGAAAACTGTACAAATAAATGTAATAACAAAAGAAAATAAATCAATTTCCCAGGCAGCGCGCACAGGTGTCGAGCGAGCACACACTAGCGCGCCTGCTTGTCGCGCGCCAGGCGGCGCAGCAGGCGGTGGCCCGACACGAAGGTCAGCGCCGCCAGCGGCAGCAGGTAGCGCGCCGACTCGAACATGGACAGGCGCAGCCACAGCACGCCGTACACGGCCAGCGACGCTGCAACACAACGAGCCGTCAGACAGGGCGCGGCGCGGCGCGGCCGACAGACGCGCGCGACTCACCTCCGAGCGCGACGTGGAAGACGAGCGCGCTGAGCGTGAGCGGGAAGTGGGCGAGGTTGAGGCCCAGGCGCGCCCACAGCAGCAGCAGCAGCAGCAGCGGCGCGGCGCAGGCGGCCGCGAACACGTCGGACAGCGCGCGCGCCGGCCGCGCCTCGGCCGCGCGGAACGAGTGCCGCAGCTCGGGCCGGGGCCCGGGAGCCGCGCGCGCCTCGCCGCCGCCCGCCGCCGCCCCGAACTTGAACACCACCTCGCCGACGGGCCACGCGATGGGGTTGGACACGGCGCTGTCTCCCAAGTATATCGTCAGCGAGTACGCGCCGGACGCATACTTCAGATGCTTAGCGATGCCGCCCACGTTCTAATCGTGCAAAATTAAAAAACGTAACGACAGGTATAACTTTTAAAAATCTTGTGTCTCTATTGAACATGTTTATTACAACATGTTTTGGTAATCGAGTAGTTAATTTGTAGACACACACCGTCATTTATTTGATATGCAGTAGGTTATTAGTGAAGACATTTTGTTTGCTTACATATATTGAGGTGCAGCAGTTAAATGGTTTACTTAGAAAATCGTGAGGTCGCACAATATTTCAAATCTAGTTAGCATGTAATTATCACCCGTCTCTAAAAACACAAAAACACACACACACAATTTTAAATTAATCTAACAAACAGACATAAAATTTGTTTGTCATCATCCCTAAACCATTGAGTTGCAACATACACCTATGACCTATGGAATATTTATTACTGGACTTTCATTATCAAGGTAAAGCTTTAAAGAAAATAGCTGAACGCAATGGTGTGAGTGTGGTATGTGTAGCGCACTCACGAGTTCGACTTTGTACGCCTTTGTGTTGTCGGGCTCGGCCACGAAGATGGTCTCGTCGTCCCCGGCGGCGCCGCCCACGCGCACGAAGGCTTGCTGCACCAGCACGGCCTTGTCGTACTTGTCGCGCACGCTGAACTTCAGGCTCACTCTGTCCGACAAACATTGTCATTACTCATTAACCTGGTTAACTGGAATTACTTACATTTTGTTACGGCTTGTGTGTGGCGCCGAATTCTTACCTATCACTGGATGGGCATTATTTTTCACCTTACAACCTATCAGTACACGTCAATAATCATAGTAGGTGTATGTTCATAATTTAAGTCGTTTTTAGACGCAATTTTTTATTTTTCTGTCCTCCTCCTACTGCTGCTTACAATCCACATGGATGTAAAAATTTCATCAACAAAAATAAATCACGCTTAAATGCAAAGTACGTACTGCCATCCGTTAGGGAGCGTACAGCACAGCGGACCACAGCAAGGGTACTTGTTATCGTTCCACACAATCATGACCCCTAATGACAATCGCGCCCCATCAAAGTGTAAAGCTCCCATCAATACAAATCAAATCAAACACAAAACCGATAACAGGTCCGTAAATATTCCGTATAGATAGAGAAACAGACTAGTCGCCCTACAAATTTCAAATCGACTTGCCTCTCGACTTCCCAACATCAGATCCTGACTCTGCAACAAGAGGTGGTCCTTATTGTCCTTCAAAATATAAGCTTTCGACAAAATATCTATCCTATCCTCATACATTCATACATTCTGTTAGCTAAAATGGTTCGAGTCGGATGCAGTAGTTTCGTTCTGTGAGAAAATAACACCGCCGTAAAAGGCTGAGAAAAATATAAATACGTATATTATTATCATTAATTTTGGATAGTTTCACCAATAATAATCTCAAAAATGGATACCAATTAGTATTTATCCGCCAATTACTAGATCTATTGTGTACTTACTTTTGTAAATGGTCAGCCTGAAGCTTTTCAGTCAATTTGTTTGGATACGCGACAGTAGTTAGCTTTGGGCTGGTAGTTCCGTCCACGTCTCCGACGCCGACTTCCACGGTGTTCACGCGAATCTCGCCCAATACCGCCACATTCACATTGGTAGTCTTAGATCCAGCACTCAACGCGATCTTGTACAATCCATATTGAGCCTTTATCTTGCTGAGATTTAGGACGAAAGTTGTCGGTTCATTGGCTTTCTGTGTCAAAGGCTGTTTGGATAGTACAACGACGTCGTCTGCAAGACGCGTGCCGGACTGCGCGACCACTTCCTCGGGCTTCAGCAGCCTGAGCGGGCGGCCCACGAGGTCGGTGATCGAGAACTCGATGCTGTCAGACTCCGCCGTGATGAACTTCTTGCCTTTAATGGAGATGCTTATGGGAGTCGGCTGTGAAAATAAAGGCAAGTGTCATCGTGAGATGCGATTTCAGGAATCGACCAAGTCAATGTTTTCCTTCTTCACCTCATCGTCGGCGAGTGCGTTGGCCGCTTCGATCAACAAGCAGGCTCCTTTGGGAGTGTTGACAGATCGTCTGGACAGCAAATACTCGGCAAACTTGTACCTCTGCTCCTCTGTCAGAGGAGAGGGCTTCTTCAAGCTCTTGTAGGTCCTGTGCAGCAATGAGAACGTCGATTAGAGCGTGCGTGGGACGAGCGGAGAAGAGCGAAGTGCGAAGCAGATACCTGTGTATGGAGGCGAGCAGCGCGGCGGTGACGGGCAGGCCGCCGTCGAAGTGCAAGGCGCGCGCGTCGCTCTCGTCGGCCGCCAGCAAGACGCCCTCGGCGTGGGCCGCGCTCCACGCGCCGCACCCCATGTGCTCACACAGCGCAAACACGAACCCGTAGCTGCCGACAGACTCATCTCACTATCTGCCTCACTGCTACCCTCCTTCACACTTTATTCTTTCTTTTAATTCTACTACTTAGGAATAAGCAAATGTTTTAGAAATAAATAAAAAAAATCCCTGTTGTCAAATATTAGTTATTACTAAATTCAAGGTTATATTAGAAATCCCAGCAATAAGTCACAGCCTAAAGTGCCAAGACCACTCAACAATGCCATGCTCAGAGGTCATCAATTATCATTTTCTTATATATATATTTGAGAATTCCACCCTAAAAAACTCACTTGGCCGGAGAATCATCCTTCTTCAGCAACTGAATAAGATTCTTTAGAGCATCTTCTTTGTCATAGACAGTGCCCTTGCCAAATGCCTTTAGTGTAAAAACAGCATGGTAGATATCAGAAATGCTGGCATCCTTTTTGTCCAGAGTTTGTGTAGCAGGACTCAAGATTTCTGGCCTTAAAAAGTTCTGGCAACTGGTTATGGCAGCAGCATTAGCCACTTGGAATACTTGTTCTATGTTTTTGGGATCATACTTGATGTTTTTGAGTATCTGTAAAACAAAATATTATTTAAAACTTATTAAGTGCATCAACATTAATATAACCTAAGCCCTATTGTTGATACCTAACAAAAACAAAACAAAATATGTGGAACTCACTTCACAGATATTTGGAATATCAGCATTAAGCTCTGCCAGCCCTTTCACCGAGTAGTACAGTGATGTAATGTCTTGACTCTTCACATTTTCCTGCAGGATGTTTTGTAGCCGCTTCAGATCAATAGTGCCTTGCAGTGTATTACCATGGCATATAGATATTGCACTTAGTAACAAAAAGGATAATGCTGAAAATGAACATTTCCGTAGATACAACCAATTATTATCAATTTAAACCTAATGAATCTTAAACTATTGTGATTGATAACATTTCACATCACAATGGTATAAAGGAAACTAATAAGAATGCAGGTGGAGCTGTTTATATTTTCGTTTAATTATACTCAATAAGTTAAAATACAAATTAAGTTTTACAATCACTATTCCTGAAACATGGGAAGAATCATGTTAATAAGATGTCTAGCTAGTAACCTATGAAATAAAACGATGGCCGGCGTCGTCAACAGAACACTGACGTGTCCCTAATAAAATCCAAGTGTTTTAAAACAAATATAAATATGCGGTTATTGAAAACCTAGTAATTGAAAAAAAGGAAGTCTCGCCTTTGGGATTATAAATAAAATAAGGAAAATACCAATAAAATAGTGATTTTTGTTTGCCACGCCAATGTTACGGTCGTAATATGACAAGGTCGATACATACCACGAAAATACATTTCTACTGTCTAGAAATTCAGAGCTAGCTCTGATTTTATAAATACTATCTTATTTTCTAGTAATATTTTCTAATTATTCTATTGAAATGCTCCGTTTGCCGGTTTCGCTTGACAAGCACGAAGCACGACAAGCACATTTGACATAAAATCATCGACGTAGCATTTCGTACTTCGTAGTGTTGTACTGTGTACAACAACATTGACATAGGAAATATATGGACTTGAAATACCTACGAAAAGAAGGTGCCTACCTACAATCCAAAATGTCGCATAAGATGGCTGCCGTTGCTAGGGTTGTGCCGACTAAGTATTTAACGAGTATCGATACAATTTGAGTAAAAGTTCTACGTAGGTATAATTTTAGGGATTAGCCAGCTCATTAACGGTATTTTTTTATGGGAAATCATCTAATGTCATCTCCGGCCTATTTCGGGACAGACCGTTACTGACTAAAATCAACTCCTGTTCCTACTTTGCCGTCGGCCTAGCTAGAGCCCGGAACCCGGGGTTAACTTGGTCTCTTGATTGGCTAATGATTTTCTCAAGTCGAATTTGTATTCATATAATTCTACGTAAAGCGTCTTTTAAAAAAATAGGACTGTGTTTATGAACAGCGTTTAATGGAATGGTGAAATAGAAAAAGATAGTGTTTGTTAAATTATGTGGAAAACCTGTGGGTATTTGTGAAGTGCTCGCGCACAATTTCGGCGCGTCTGATTAAGCGATGATATCTTCGAAACTACGTTAGCACAAAGTAGATATGTAGTGAAGTCAATCTTATTGTATGTATCTCACTTTTTATTATTACGCTTGGTGGTCGCACTGGGATCGTCGCCAACGCCACTCTGTCAATCGCGCCCGTATAATTATAAAACATGATAATTTGAACTTCTACTTATGTAACTAAAACCAATACCAAAATACTGACGTCTTACTTTAGCGTTACACAAAACTGCGGAAACATCCATTGTTAAAATAGATTATTTAGTATAATATATGCTGAATTTTAAATGGGAGATTATATCGATACTTTTGTGAAATGGTACGTAACTATGCCATATTGACATATTATTGTAAACAACAATTTTTTACTAAAACTGTCTCACAGACAGAAATAAAAGTAAATATATATACTTTGGCAATAGATTAAAGTATCCGTGACATTTTTTCTATCTATGTGGATTATTCTAAGTAATAATTGATGAAAACTGTTTACTAACCTATACAAAGACAATTGAGGTTGATTTTCGTTCTTTTTTGTACCACACTGCACAATGCAACACACAGGCATATTGTTTTTTTGTTTCACTATATATATTTGAAGTTTAAAAAAATGGTTCTTTGTAATTTACTGAAAAACCGCAATAATTTAAAACATAAACAACCGTTTGACAGGACAACTACCATGAAACTCAAGTACTCTGAGCGCTTAAGATGGCGGACATGGCACTTACCTACAACTTTGCTAATGTCAAAATGATTTGTTTCCATATTAAGCAACAACTTAAATATTGTTGTCCCTTTTGTCTAATACAATTATTGCCTTAGAAAGAGTGAGAAAAAATGATATTTCATAGTTTGTTTCATATTTCCTTCATATTTGTATAAGCATGTATACTTCTATAGTAACACGGCGCCTCTATATATTTTCTATCTCAATGGTACAACAAGCATTGGTGGTATTGGCGATGCAAAGATGGCCTGGATCTGGATGGAGGCGCGCCTCTAGCGGTGAAAATTAGAAACAGTCTAAGAACAACGATTTGTTTATTTGTTGGAGTTATGTTAGAGTATTCAGATGGATCACGACTATATAAGGAAACGTTGCTAATAAAAGCAGAAAAACAAAATATTGTTGCGTTCCTCGATGTAGTACTTACGGAGATACGGGTATAAGTTTTCATTTATTCCCAAAAGACAAAAATATGACGAAATATGGAAGACTGCTTAAAAAATAAGCAAGCCAATTTCAACATCAATGAGAGTTTGTTCTCATCATTTTCAAGCATTAAAGTTTTTTCCAAACAGAAAGTATAACCATGTTTTAATTATGTTATTTTACATCAAATATATTAATATGTATTTATTCATTAGTAAGTTAAGTTATTCATTTAGTTTTCACTCCAGGCGAGTTTCTCGTCAGATAACGAGATTATGGTTATTGTTCCAGATTTTAAAAGGCACAAGTTGTTTCCTTATGTCGTAAAGTCTCAGAATATTCCTCAAATAACCTCCGATAAAGAAGTACCATTAGAAAAGAGCACTCAAATAAATATTCTTCCTATGAGGGAAGAGGATAGATCAGCTTTAAAGCAATTAACCCTCTCAGATTTACTCAGTAGTAATATGTATTTATTTACTTTTACAAGTATTCATTCAATAGAACTTTTAGAAATATCGATCAACTATTGACAGTATAATTATTGTCTTAGGGCTGATTTTTCAATAGTTAGATAAAAGTTACCTTTAAAATAATTACGATGCTGTCGCGTCAGAATGTTTGTATAACACAGTGACAGCAACAATCTCATTCCACTTAAGAAATCAGCCTTTACAGACGGGGCCCTATAGGGCTGATATTCAGCCGGGGTTTTCGGGTAAGCGCAATGAGGTACCGCGACCTCGGCCCAGAGCAGGAGAAAGAACAGCGGAGTTTTTAGTCAGTAAGAATCTGATACTCCCTCCCGCCCGACCCTGGGCGGGAGAAGTCATTTGATGATTTTCCCATCACAAAACTAACGTTAATTGTTAGGAAAACTGTCAAAATGTCGTTCTTAGACAGCTTCACAAGTAATTTTTATTCTGCAAAAGCGAGCTATCTGAGCAATTATATTATTTGCCGTTACTTGCCCCATCGTACCAGAAATGTATGTTTCAAAATAATTTAATTGTTGACAATCTGGAATTACAAACTAGGTATTCCCCGTTGTGCATTAAGTCCTAAATCTATTTTTCTTGGATGTCTACCTACTACCTACCTACTAAAATACTCCCACCCATGACACTATATTCAACTATTCGTAGGCTAATGTCAACTAGTGATGGGCCGAGTCGTCTTTTTGATAACTCGAGTAACTCGAGTTGACCCGATAACCAACTCGGGCTGCAACTCGAGTTGACTCGACCCGATCAGCCATAAGATACGTCGCGTCCTTCGCCGCGTTGTCCGAGTTGTCCGTTCGAGTTAGTAAACGCTCGACTCGGTGCATCGTTCTGCGGGTTGCTAGTTTGCTTGTCGAGCCCGACGGGCTGTGTGGGGTCGAGTCCATGCTAATGATAGCCAAATAAAATAAGTTTGTCAAAAAATCAGACTTTAATGTTATTGAAAGTTGTAAGATTGGGCCAACAGCTTCACTATATTATTGTATAATGTGTTTTTTTTAGGTGGTTCACTAAGGTACCCGTATTTCCACTAAATTTGTATTGACTAGAACACAAATTGCATTGTACTTTAGTATTATTGTCTATTTTCGAAAAAACTCCCACGCCACACTTTTCCTGTTTCCCGGAGCCATTCTAAACTTATTAATCAGACAAACAACACTTAATAAACTAACAATACCGCAACAAAACAATAAATTACGAACTAAGTAGTAATAACAAAAACGTAAACAAAACAAATATCTAATCTTTTGTGTTAAAACTCTGTCATTTGTTCGCCGAAGACGAGAACTATCTCTTTCACTCGCGGCTCGCGGCTCGGACGACGCGACTACGTTTCGTTGTTCGTGCTGACTCGGGCTCGCTCGGTGTCGTTCGGGCCTCGCGAATCGCGGGCTAGGCGGCGAGCGGGCGACGGCGTCGAGCGGCGCGCGCTCTTCGGTTCAACCCGAGTTGCAGAAATATTTACTCGGGCTGACTCGCTCACGGTCTAACTCGAGTTGCCCGAGTTAGATAACTCGAGTTGCCCATTACTAATGTCAACTCCACCGTCAAATTCAATGGCTATTTGACAGTTCGAAATTTCTTCCATCTTCAGCCATTCCGAAAATAAATTTCAGATTGTACTTCAATTGTTTTGATTAATTTAACAAAATGGCAAGTGCAGTCGGCAAGGTACCTTCTCTAATCAGTTGTGAGTAGCTTTTATACACCTTTGAGATTCCATGCTTTTATTATGTCTGTTTTGGTTTCTTTCAATATATTATGTAATTCTAGTATTTTTAGACTGCAATTTGTAGGTTATATGGATTTAATGAAAAATAAAACATTAAGAATACTTACCGTATTTACTGAGCATATTTTTTCGATTTTTAAAAAGAAAGTTGGAACGTAGTGGTTCTTCAATTAATTATTGAGAGATGACAAGATTTGCCGTTGATTCACATCTGTGATCGTACTAATATGAATTTTACCATAAAATTTTCCAGCGGCAATCGCACAGGCCCGTCCTAAATTCAACATCTTCATGAAATATGCGCGAGTTGAACTAGCTCCCCCCAAACTGAGCGAAATCCCACAAATCAAAGCTGGCATTGGCAAACTGCTGACAAGTGCTAAGACTGGTGCATGGAAGGACCAGACTATCAAACAGGCCACCCTGAACGCTCTTGTAGGAGCAGAAGTCATCTTTTGGTTCTATGTAGGAGAGTGCATCGGCAAACGCCATATTGTTGGTTACGATGTTTAGGTTCTGGTTGTAAGCACTAATTATGTAGATAATATGTTCAGCAAAGTAAATTATTAAAACATGTCTATTGGTTTTATTTAACCCTCAACTTTATCTTGTATTGTCGGTTACTACTAATACCGCAGTATATAAATTTAACACTAACATACATTAATATATATGCCGGTTATAAAGGTGGCGAATCAATTCTCATTTAATTACTTTCAAGGCCATTGTAGAACCTAAGTTATATAAGGAAAGATTACAGAAAAGTTGTTAAAAGATGGCCAGACTTGGGGCAATTTTTTTATTTGATGTTAAGATGTGATTTGACACATTTTATTCATGGAGGAATTGAATGTTTTTCTATTTCTTATTTTAAATTAATTACCAATTTACATTGGTTAGTGTAGTAGTTAGGAACGCGAGAGACTCTCCATCGACGACAAATTATTTACATTCTACCTAACCAAATGTTCTTTTCGTCACTATTGCTCATCATACAATTATATGAACTAACGTTATTTAAAATGAAATAAGGCCATTTGTTATTTAACTAACCATTGTACACACAAACTAGGAACTTTTAATCCAGGTAATGCGGGCGAAGACACTGGCAGAAGGTAGTTGTGAAATAAAATGCTTTTTAATTTTATTATTTATTAATGTTTCTATTGATTAATTTATGCAATGGTAATAAACTACTTACAGATATAATAATATCAACAACTATTTTACAATGGTGCACACTGCTCCATAAACCTGTAGGGGTTGCAAGCACTAGTGAACTTTAATTCCGTCTCAACTTCAGCAGGTCCTCTTAGCCACAGGCGGTCTCTGTAGTATGCCACACAGCTCTGAAATTCCTTTTCATTGTATCGCCCAACCTCAATGGGCACAAAAGGGTCTAAATGATCAAAGCCCTGTAAAATAATTAAGATGAAGAGATAATATGAGCTCTAAATGTTTCTGAACTTTATACTTATCAAGTTAAGACTAGGTCAATAATAAATTGTACCTATAGGCTTTTATCCCAACATAATAACGATAAAAATTCATTGAAATATTCATCCCAGATTACTTCTGTAACCATTAAGACAAACTTAAGTATATTGTAATATAGACTTGCAGCGCCGACTTTTAACCTACCAGTGGGTACAATTTGTATCTTTGTATGTAGGGGGTAATCTTTGGAACCGCTGGTCGGATTGCCAAAATTCTTTCACTGATAGATAGCTACTATGTTCCTGGGTGCTATAGGGTATAAAACATCACGCTACGATCAAATGGACCTGAGCAGCGGGTGAAACCGCGCGAGAGTAGCTAGTATGAATATATAGTTTTTATTAATACAAATCAATCCCATACTCAACTAAACGTAGCTGGGTTTGTTAACCATTGAGAAGTTCTCTTGGCTATCATAGGCAACAGATCACTAATGAGAATCACAACCCATTTACGAGGTATAATACGAGGTCATTGCTGTAAACCCTCAGGGGATCTTTCGGCTCCATCATTGGGACACGACGAGACCTTCATTAAAGTGTATTTGTATTATATGGTATAATAATATTGTCGAATTAAGAAACCTTCTTTGAAAGTTGGTTAAAACCAATTAGACTGCCTTTTTTTTAAAGGGACATGTCTTCATGGGCTGCCGCCAACTGGCAGGACTGCGTCCACCTGGGAGGGATAGACGCAAGAGCGTGCCGGACTCTTGCCAGCTAAAACCACCTCGGTATTGGAGGGCATTGTCCGCCATAATCCAGCTCCCGGTGCGTTTTCAGCGGCCGGAAAATCGTTCAATAATCGTGGAGGATTCTGACGCCCATCGCCTTTGGTTTGCGCAAAACGACGGGAGTGCTGGCCGTCATGACTATTGTCCACATAGGGGGCCATACAGGACCGCGGGTAGCACGATTCCCATATAGACAGGCGGCACTCGGGCTCCCACATAATTAGATTACCTAGGCAATCTAGCTACGGTTATTTTGTTACGTATATAAGGACATACATTATCCCAAGAAATGATAGACATACCTTTTTGTACAGCAAGTATCTGGGAAGGAAGCTTTCCTGATGGTCATCAGGTACTGCTAGCTGGTCGGCAGTTACTACTATAACAGCATTCGTCTGGTAAAATAAAAGTAAGTGATTATACAACTAAAAGTACCCAAATCCCATAAATATGAATAGCTTCAATGCTCACCCAGTCATTAAGTGTCAGTTTCAAGAAGGATGTGGTAAGTGTAACTTCTTCAGGTTTCACTGCCTTTTTGGTGGGAGTATTGAGTCGCGTCAACGGGTAGAAGAAGCTATTGAATCCGTCGATCGCCACAAATGTTTTGCATCTAAAATAGAGCGTGTTTACTTCATAATTTGTTTTTAATTATATTATAGTATCTTATGATATTATAGAACAAAAAAACACTAGCTTGTCAAATATATAGGAGATTCCCAAAATTTGAGTTACTAGGCGCCAGAACAAAGTATTTGAGTGACACCCATGGAAAAGTACTTAGCTCATTAATGAAGCCAATTAAAGTGAAAATTGCCACAAGACATACTGTTTATTGTTGGACATCAATTTGATCTCATCAATGAGCACGTCGATGACGTCACAGGCGTACTTCACGCGATTAATTCCGTGTTCGACCAACATATGTAACGGAGAGCCTGCTTCTGTCTTCTCGCGTTTACTCCACACATACTCCTTAGAGACCTTCAACTGTGAAAAAACAAGATTTCATTAACTGTGATTTATAGGTTAAAAGATCCTTCCTATTATTAAACTATGCATTTCTTGCAAATAAATATTTTGTTTTAAGGTAAACACCTACGTTTTAAGGACTTACATTTTCTGACTTCAGTAATGTTTGATTCTGACTCTTGAAATGTATAAGCCAAGCGGCAGCGTCGAGGGGAAGGTCGACGAAGCCCTCGCGTGTCTGAGAATTGGACATCTCTTTGTGGCGCGGCACTCGCCTCAACCACTCCGAAACTAAAAATGCAGCAATATTTAGGTAGGTTCATTAATAGGCAATGATCATGTTTCTCGGTGTGCACATATGTAGATTTGATAGATTTGTTACTGGACTGTTGGTGGTTACCCATTTGAGAAATGAGGATGTAGGGAGGATTAATTGTGATTAAAAGTAAAAATCTGAATAATTAGAATCTTGATTTTGAATCACATCTAGGGCCTTAAAAACTATTGAGGTATCATTAATATAATAAATAAAGCTTAATATTTCTTGGGTGCTTAGGTGGTCAAGTAACCACTGGTGTGACAAGCTTTCTATTTCCCCACAAAACAATGTACTGTGTATGTTTTTATTAAATGTACCATTGACACAAAATCAGAGTTAAACAATGTGAGGAGTGTTTGCAACATAGGTTGCTAAATAATAAAAATTTAGCTTACCCCAAGGCACATGTACAATCAGGTAACCATCCTCATGGGCATAATGTAAGACATGAGCCAATGTCAGAGACTTGCCTGAACCTTTTTCACCATCTAAAGAGCATTTATTAAGGAAATATAAACAGGACATATGTTCAATCAAATTAGCATATTATAAAGGGAATACCTAGTAACCTGTTGACTGAACCAACTATATTATGTTTTTTATAACAGTGGAGTCATTCAAATATAAAATGAAATCCAATTTAACAGTTGAAGGAAACCGAGCTTGATACTATCTTGCCTGGTGGTAAGTGATGATCCAGCGATGGAGCATTCCTCCCTATAATCAACCTATTCATTTAGGCCTTGAATGGTTATATGCATGTAGGTACAGATGCAGGCAAAGAATTTCACTCATTATCAGTTCTGAGACAAAAAGTTTCTAAGCTTAAGTTACGTCTGGAAGGTCTGGAGCTTAAGTATAAACTGGATGTTGCTACTGGACGCTGTTAGTTGTTGTAATCAATTATAGTTTCAACTATACATTTTAATTATGTAGAAAAGGATACAGAGAACATATCTAATTGCTGGATGGTTTAAATCACTAGCTTTAATGCAAGAGATCAGGTCCAATGCAGGCTGTCGCACCATTACAGCAGTCTCTGTGAAGGTCTTAGTCTGTTGCATAAAACTTTTTGGAAATCCTCCGTGACTGAAGAGTTGTTTACATAGTTCTGGTTTCATGGTGTAGAATAGACCCTCTTGTTTTTCATTGTGTTGAGTCTGAAGTAGATATTATGACGTCGTATTATATCATGCATTCGCATTTATATTAAGAATTAAACTATTTTATGGTTAAAATCAACTTACGGGTGAATACTCATTTGTTCTAAAAGTAACAGCTTGTGAATAGCGTCGAGACAGCTGCCTCCAGCTGCGTGAAAACATTATGGATAGGTTACAGTCGTAAAGTAATAAAATATTGCTTTTTATTTATTTTTTTATAACAATTGATCACATCACAACATAACCTAAAATAAAGTCTAAAATGGTCACAATACGTTGAATACGTCAATGTCAAATTTTGACACATGCTTTTTTACCACAGGCGAAAACATATATATTTGTTATCTCAATGGGCGAAAATCATAAAATGACTTCTCTCGTCGAGTTTTTTGTTCCTTCTGTTTCTTCGCCCCTAAAAGGAACGGTACTTCTCCTGGTCTAGGCCGAGGCTGTGGTATCTGGCTGAACCTCGGCCCTTTGGTTCCTTGAGCCCCTTGAGGCGTGCGAGGAACACTATGCGCCGTGCGCGCCTCATAGATGCAATAGATCACTAAAGATAGGTCCCTAACAAGGCTGTTGGGGTCTGACTAGGCATATCTTATGAAACTTATGAATGAAAACTTATGAATTTATTTTTGCCAATAGGCTATAAAACGGCACTTTTACACGTCAAATTATATGTGAAAAACTAGATGAAGCCGGCATTTCCTATCTGACTACTCTGAGAAGAAATGCCGAAACAACCTCAGAGGTCAGTCTCTTTTCAAGTCCAGACAATGTAAAATAACATAATGTGAGAGAACCGTGCTCTGTAGTGGTCTTTTGAGGAAAGAACCACACCAGTTTAAGTGGACCTGTTCTGAAGACATGCACGCAAGTGTCAGTTTGCAACCAGTACAGCTAGTACTGCTGAGTTGTCCGACGAACAATACCGATAAAAAGAACATTTGGGAGGGTCGCGCAAGTACTCAAACTGTCAGAACGCAGATAACTGGTAATCAAAAAGCACGGCAAGTCTCACACGGTCCTTACACTAACAATAATATAAAATAATAAAAATGTCAATAAATATATAAAAAAAATGTCAAATAAAAAATAAAAAATGTCACATTAGGTGATCATGTCATTGTATAAAAAAAAACGTAATGTCAAATTGTACACCTATGTAGGGGTGTCTTTCCGGTATATTAAATTAAACAATCTTTACTGAATAAATGTCTATTATTTTCACAACCGCGGTCTGGCAGGGACTGCGGGGCCGTGCGTTCATATTACACTTGTCATAATATCTTGCTTACCTAAGCACCGGCTCCATATTCCTCCCCATGTTGAAAAATAAAAATGATATAATAATATTAATGAGTAAAATTAATTAAGTACTAAAGTTGTTACATTTGAGCGCACAAGGCACACAGGAATTTGCTTAGTTGCGAGATGGTTGCGCTATGCCGTCTCGCCTTCTACGAATTTTTGACATAAACATCGTTGTGTTACAATTTTTAACAATAGAACTTATATACTTTATCTTATTATTTTTTTTTTTTATTTAATTGGTCGGAAAACTAGCAGACGGATTACCTGATGGTAAGCAATCAGCGCCGCCCATGGACACTCGCAACGGAAGAGTTACGAGTGCGTTGCCGACCTTTTAGGGATTTGGGATTTGGAGATTTAGGGATTTAGGAGGGATTGGGGGAGGGGAAGGATTGGGCCTCCGGTAACCTCACTCACACGGCGAAACACAACGCTGTGGTTATTTCACGCCGCTTTTCTGTGAGGCCGTGGTATCACTCTGGTCGAGCCGACCCATTCGTGCCGAAGCATGGCTCTCCCACACTTAAATATAATAAATTATTAAGTATAATAAACTGATCATGTTACTGTATACATATATTACAATTTATTCATAACTACTAAATCAGTATATTAATTACGACATTAAGAGTAAAATAATTATAAAAAAATACGTTTACGTTTAACCATACCCTTTTACCTTGCAAGTATGCTAAAATCTCATAGAAACCTGCTCGTATTGTCCGTTTAACGGGGGTTTTGATAACATGCCTGCCCAGCAGGCTACACGGGATTTAATATTTAAATTAAATATTATTTAAATTAAATAATATTAGATATATTATTTAATATTATATTTAATATTAAATATCACGTCGGGGTCACCAATGTAGGGGTCTCTTTCCGGTAGGTATATTAAATTAAACAATTTAAGTGTGGGAGAGCCATGCTTCGGCACGAATGGGTCGGCTCGACCGGAGTGATACCACGGCCTCACAGAAAACCGGCGTGAAATAACCAGAGCGTTGTGTTTCGCCGTGTAAGTGAGGTTACCGGAGGCCCAATCCTTCCCCTCCCCCAATCCCTCCTAAATCCCTAAATCCCCAAATCTCTAATCCCTAAAAGGTCGGCAACGCACTCGTAACTCCTCCGTTGCGAGTATCCATGGGCGGCGCTGATGGCTTACCTACCATCAGGTAATCCGCCTGCACGTTTGCCGACCTATTAAATAAAAAAAATAAATAAAAAGAAATGTTTAAGTACTGAATAAATGTCTATTATTTTCACACACGATTATACAATACCGCGGTCTGGCAGGTCTGGCGGGGCCGTGCGTTGGCCGTGCGTTCATATTACACTTCTCATAATATCTTGCTTACCTAAGCACCGGCTCCACCCCGTTAGGGTATTTATGTTCTGTGGGCTCCACAGTCATAAGTACTTATAAAAGTCTAACTTATGTTCAATGCTTATATTACAAACATGTCAACATGACCTGTGCACACGTTACAGCGGTTCATTCCCAAGCCTGACTTCTAAGTAGTCTTTCATTTTATAAAATGCTTTACAGTAAAGTAAAGTACGTTATTACACTTTTAAATTTATTGAGGCTCAAATTTTGAATATCGCTAGGAATTTTATTGTAAAAGCGTAAGTATACATTGAAAAACGTATATGTAGGTACTGTAATGCTAGCGGTTAGGAGCAGTCGCTCGCTAAAGGCCTTATGTGTTAGTCGATATTCAATAATATTCGCAACTTATTTGATTTCATTTATTAGCCTACCGAGTACCTACCGAAAGTGGTGATCACGAACAATAAGGAACAGTGCATAAATTCTGTAATAGACTGACAATTTTGTGTAATTTTTAATGTATTTTTATTTTTTTTTTGGTACAGCTGGACCAAGGGCGGTGAGCGTTTTCCGGGGCGAGCGACTCAAGCATCATGTTCAGCTCCTTCTACTAGAAGACTTCTTACGCAAGCACAAGTGACAAGTGTTCTGAACTGTTCTGATGTTGATGTTCCAATGACGCACTCATATTCAGCACTTCTAACGTTTCATTCCAAATTGTATTAGGTATTATTGTGGTGCCGGGCTTTTTTAAAGAGGCTCCAAGGAGGAATCGTGGCTATGAAGGGCGCCTTGATATAAAACAGACGATTGACCTGATGGGTACTAGCGTTATAGTTTTACGAAGGGTTATTACGGCCCCACAATATGTTATGAGATGGCTTAGTGAGTGCCTTCATTTTCCAGAGTAAGGATTCAGCATTTGATCAATAGAAGGAGTAAGATCGAGAAAGGAATGTCTGATGGGTGCCACGCCGTATAGGGTCGCGCTCGTTGAAACCCCAACAGGATGGAGGCGAAATGATGGGATGGGGCATACTTTATCGCCCTTCGGTTAGCTTCTAAATCATCGGTACTCAACCTTTTTTATATAAGGGCCACAATTACGTTTTAGTCATGTGGTCGCGGGCTGCAAGCAAAAATTACCGTAGGAGAGCCACACTTACATAGGCACGTTAATGGCAACCGGAATGATACCATCACCCCGTATCCCTTTTGTTCCTCTTCCCTTCTTTTATTTCGCGCGCTGTGATGCGAATGGGCGCGACAATCAAAATAGTCAATCATCTCTAATTCCACGCGGGCAACTGCTTTAAACCATCAAGGTTTCTGGTTAGTATTCGATTTCTGGCTTGAGAGAAGGCATGACGTTGTACTAAATGACTTCGGGAACTATGGGCAGAGACTGACTCTGTGACGTTTGGTATATCACTGCATACCTACCTATATGTGATGAAAATATGGTGTGGTTAACGCGTAGATATGGAGTGTAAGGCGTAGGACGAGTTATTCCCGACTATAATCCTTTTTTGTCCAAAATGGTTTGTAGTGCAAGTTTTGGGAAGCAAATTCACTCAAACCATAACACAATCGTCTATACCTATAATTAATTATACTAGACACCTGCTGCTCGGCTCCTATGATGTTGTTGCCTAATTGCACTCAGGAACATTGTAGCTATCTATATTACTGTTCCAAATATTACCCTGTAGCCGCACTTCACGACTACATACCTACCAATACCATATTCAAAACCATGTACCATATTTACCTTACCACCGAATACCTTACCATACCCCAAAACCAGATACCATATACCTTCCACATACCTACTAACGTTTTTAAACATTCCGTTATCAAGAAACATGATAAAAATTGTCTTGAAAAAGACAGTTAACGTTTTTGACTCGGCCAGAAACAATTACTTCGGCCCGGCGTTATTACGCCGTGCGTATTTAATAGCCTCAGGAACATTGAAGCTTCATTGTGAGGACCACCTAGAGGATACGGTGGAGCATACGGTAGCGGTATGCCTGGGCTGAGCACCGCCGTATCCTCAGGGAAGTGATCGGCGGCGGCGACCTCTCGCGCCCGGCCTTAGTCGAGGCCATGGTGCGGAATGAGAGGAACTGGGACGCCATCTCCTCCTTTTGTGAAGCAGTCATGCTCGCAAAGAGAGAGGCGGCCCGCGTGAGGGAGCAATCCTCCTCCTCACGCCCCAGCAGCCGCAACTGGCGACACTACGGGCGTCGGGGATCGAGGGACGATCTCCGGCCACCGTAAGTACGGGCCTGCGGTCGGCGAGTAAGGGCAGCTCGCCGCCCGACCAGAACTAGGCCCGAGCGTACGGCGCGTAGCGTTCCGCGCGCGCCTCAAAGAGCCAATAGACCACCACAGACGGGGCCCTAAAGGGCTGATGTTCAGCCGGGGTTGCGGGGTAAGCGCAATGAGGTACCGCGACCTCGGCACAGAGCAGGAGAAGGAACAGGGGGGTTTTTAGTCAGTAAGAGTCTGACACTCCCTCCTGCCCGGCCCTGGGCGGGAGAAGTCATTTGATGATTTTCCCCTCACAAAAAAAAAAAAAAGGAACATATCATCATATACATAGAAGCTATCTATCAGTGAAAGAATTTTGGGAATGTTTCAAAGATTACCCCCTACATACAAACTTACAAATACCTCTTTATAATATTAGTATAGATTTCCGTTTCAATATCTATAAATATTTATAAAATGGCTAACATACAATGACTTTCAGGCTAACTTAACTAAAACAAAATATATACAATTTTCTAACTATCAAACAGTGACCAAAAAAATTACTTTGCAATATAATAATACAGTGATTAGTCCAACCACTGACATTAAGTTCTTAGGTATAACTGTAGACAACTACTGCAATTGGAAGTCTCATATACATTATGTATGTTCAAAACTTAACAAATTTGTTTACGTTCTAAGACATCTTAACAAAACTGCTTCTCAATCAACAGCAATAGCTGCTTACCATGGTTATATAGGATCAGTTTTACGATATGGTTTATTACTATGGGGTAACTCAACCTTAATAAACGAAGTTTTCCTGGCACAGAAACGCTGTTTAAGAGCAATGTGTAATGCCGGTCCCTTTGATTCTTGCAAACCCCTATTTCAGAAAACTAAAATACTCACCATTTTTTCCATATACATCATTGAAGTTGGCCCACAATTATTCAAAAAGTTTCAGAAAACAGTGCATTCAGCAAAAGAGATCCTAGTAAGATTGTTGTACCAAAATGCAGAACCACTCTGTATTACAGAAATTGTATGTTTATGTGTATAAAAATCTATAATAAAATACCCCAAACTATCAGAGAACTTCCATTAACATTGTTTAAAGTAAAAATAAAGGAATGGCTGGCACAAAAATGTTATTAGGTATGCAATTAAGGATTTTTTAGAAAATAAGTAATGCGTAACTTTTATATATTTTTTGTTGTTAACTTGTAATATTGTTTTAATTAATAATGTACCAGCCCAAATGGGCCTTAATTATTGTATGCCCAAATGGGCTGATTGTTGTACTGTATTCCTATAAACACCTGTAACCAACACAATCAACACAATAAAGATTACTTTTACTTTAAAAAGACAAAATGTAAATAGCTTATTTCTTCTTTCAAATTGCCTCTTTGGAAAACTCACCCTACTTTTCCGAATGCTATGCTTCATCAAGTGACCATGTTATTGAGATCATGAGACTACTACAGATAATAGTCTACTATGAATATAAAACTTACAAAATAAATATGCCAGAGATTATTATTTATTTATTTTTTACTTTTATAGTTATTTAGGTACGTTTTCAGATTAAGACTTACTTTGCATTCGTTTTTTCTTAAATAAACTGGTAGGCCTTGGTTGACTTAATAGTTTACTATTTTCTTGTTCCTCTTTCTCTACAACATCTTTAATTACAATAACTTCTTGACTTCCATTTTCGTGGGACTTCACTTGTGCAGCGCTCTCTTTTTGAAATTCTACTTTAGGAGCTCTTTTAACATCTGCTGTTGCATATTTTGACTTTTTGAGAATAGATGTGGTCCCAGTTCCAAATAGGTTAGAATGTGCTTGATAGATATCGCTTGGTTTCTGTATGCCTTTACTAGCATCGTAAGGCTTATTAATAGGATCTGTGACACTGTGTTTGAAAGTTATGTCCAAAGTATTACTATCATTTTCATCAACAAATGATACCCGTCTTTGTATTTTTGGTATCTGCCCCTCCTGATCATTACCCTCTAGATCTTCTTTTGTTTCTTCAACATCTTCATTATCAATAATGTCTTCTAGTCTGTAATTTGGAACACAATTTATTATTAACAGTCTCAAGTCAGGTTGGGAAATATAAATGCCCTTCTCCCACTTCAAAATCATTCCAACTAAACCATAAATTTTGTAATGTCATCATCATGTACATTCAAATGGAGAAGAACGAGAAAGAAGCTCCATCATTACTCATTGGAGTTCAAAATAAGTTTTCTAGAAAGTATTTTTAAAGTTTGTTAGACTAACTTTCGATTATTTCCATACTTATGGTTCGAAAGTAAGAGAAAGAAGGGGAGGGGTGGGACATATTTGAAAATTTTGGTGTGATTATTACAATAAGTTATTTCCTTACCTATCCATTTCATCTTCAAGCTCATCAAGTTGATCCAGTTCATCTAGTCTTAACATTAAATCTTTTTCATCCTTAGTTCGACATCTTTCTCTATTCTTTAATTCATGTAACTTTTCTTCTAATTCATTCTGTTTATTGATAACTTGCTGTAATATATCCAATTTTGAAGTTATCTCTGGAACCTTAGTTTCTTCGCGTTTATCTTTTTTTTCATTATAAATTATTTCATGAAATTTTTTTTTTTTTCTTTTTCTTTTTCCTCTTTGCTGATATTTTCCTGTTCTAAATTTGGATTTGTGGGATTGCTTTCGTCAATATTTGGTGGTGTTTGTTGGGTGTCACTTGTAATAATGGACAATTCATTTTCCAATTCTTCTTGCAGTTCTAACTCTTCTAACCTTACCCATAACTCTTCATCTGTCATGATCTGATTTTCTGTCTCTTCCTCTCTGTTTTTGTTTTGCTTATATTTTCTAACATTCTCTCTATGTTTTGCCCTCCATACTTTGTCCTCTTCTTCAGAATAATACTCTATGATTTCTTGTCCTTCTTTATCATAAAGAGTTTTTCTAGTAAGTGACAATTGATTTCCAAAATATTCCTTTTCTTTAATATACATGTCCAGTTTTTCTTGGGCATCTGAAAATAAACATTTACCTTTGTATGACTTAATTCTCTCAATAACTATTCCCACACAAAATAACTCTGTAAGATCCAATAATATGTTGTTCCAAAACAGTGTGATGTTGGTGTGTGTGAAATTGTATGTTTGTAGACACATCCACAACCCAAATCAATTATTAAATCCATTAATAATTGTTGTAGTATGCAAACAACAAACAAACTCATGTATCTATTGTCCTGTTTTTACACATCACATCATCAGCCCTATAAGTGCCCACTGCTGAGCAGAGGCCTCAAAGTCAAAGTAAAAAATCATTTATTCCAATTAGACCTTTACAGGCACTTTTGAATGTCAAACAAAATTTTGAGGATATAGTGTCAGTCTGTCGGTCAGTCCTCTTAGTGAATCTATTTGCTCGTTCAAAAGTGTAGATTCCGATGGAGAAGAATGAGCAAGAAACTCCATGGTTACTCTTTTTAAATCAGTTTCACATACAGATTCCTTGTACACTAATATTTATTCAAATATAAAAATAAAGTAACCTCTTGTCACACATATAATTACCACACTTGCTCAAGGCAGAATGGCAATTTCAAATTTATGATTAGAAATTTTAAGTCTAGGTTTCTTATGATGTTGTCCTTCACCGTGTGTCAGTGGTGTCTATATAATCATAAAAAGTACATATAAACTCGGAAAAAGACACTTGGTAATCACCAGGCTTCGAACCCACACTCTCGTGCATGAGAAGCAGGTACCTTAACCTCCAGGCCACCAGAACCTTTATCCTGTTGGTGTAGGTAAAAACCAGTACAGAAATAAAAAAAAAAAAAATGTAAAAATGAAGCGCACCTTTGATTCTGTGTTGACAAAGTATTTCAGCCTGTTTAATTGAACATTTCACAAAGTAATCAGCACCAAGAGCAGCAGTAACTTCATTTGTATGTATCAGTTCACCTCTGAACAATATTCTGCTTCCAATGGGGACCAAAGTTGGAACTTTTAATTTATCACTAAATACACTGAAATCTAAATTCTTTAAGTTTCCCAAATAATTTTCCCAAAATTGAACATTTCTTTCGTTTTCTACTGAACTCTGAAATAAGTATAACAAAATGAATATTACTTATGTACTAAAAATAATAAAAAAAACAAAGTAATAAATATTATCATTCTAAAATATCCTATTATAGGATATAGGGACAAAAACAACCACCTACCTTATAATATATTTCACTTAGAATATCCATTTTTGAGTTTAAAATGTTTTGTGTTAATAGAATTTCTATAGCGATTTAGCGAACTATTCCGAAGTACAGTGAGATTGTTAATTTACTTTTGTTTGACATTGACATTACCAATAGTCGTCCAGAAAGAAGTACTCTATCTTTTCAAAATTATCATAGGTCGGTTAGATATTTCTGTAGTCGAGGACAATAATCATTTTGTTAATATGATTATTGTTGTTTCTTTGTTTGGGCATAATTAAGTATAAAGTTATATATCATTCTATATCAACTTTGCTATCACTTGTAGTTTATGCAAGGAGAATAAAATAGAGAACAAAAAAATGTACTAACCCATAGGTTAGTTTTAGATAAATTATTCCATGAATAAATGCTAAGTTGTCCATCTACTGTCAGTCATTCATTCTGTCAAAAACATACGGTCAATAGTAGTTCAGACATATTATTGTGTTTTGAAGCTAACATTGCCTTGTAATAAAGTTTTGAGACATCTGAGAGTAAAAATTATTATGTATTGAGAAAGATGGAGGAAAAGAAATCTATCCTACATGAACTATACGTGTTTTCTGAATGGAAACCAGAGCCAGAATATATAGTAAGTGTCAACAAGCTTAAGTTTTTGTTTTCCACAAGATGTTTGAAATTAATGGGCTTGAATTAAAACAACAAAATAAATTCTAAAATTGCGAATTTCTTAAGTATATATTTCTTTTAGCAAAAGCCCGATAGTATATTACCTGAGAATATATCTGCTCTTTGGAGATGGGTAAACTTTCTGGGACCAAAAAAAAGTCTTATCGACGGCGTAACAGCGTAAGTAACTTTTGTCACTAGCATAACAATATTATTTGTAATATTTGAGATGTACTATAAAAATATATCTATTTATTACTATACTGCATTTAGACATTTAGAAAAACAACAAAAGTGGCATATTGCGTTGGGAGATGAGGGCAAAGTAATTGCTGTGTTGACTGACAACATCTTGGAGATACGTACGAAACGATCTGAGTATGCAACAATTGCTGCTAGAACAACAGGTAAATAAGATTATATTCTCTTTTTTTCACTTCTTTAACTGTTGTGACTAAAAGAAGGAATACTTCTTCATCTTCAAGTAAAAAGAAAACTTTGTGAATAATTTTAGTGAGCCGAGATGCCTATCCGCAATGGAGAAAGTTAGTGTGGAGCCCTGACTGCTCTTTAGTGGTGCTGGCTTATGGAAATGGAGTAGTCAGCTTCTTTGATTTGACTGCATCTAACCTTTTTAACATTCCTATTGTAAGTTAAAACCAATGATTTTGTTTGAAACTTAGAAATTAACTTGTTAATGCAACAGCATACAATACTTTTAGGATTGCTCAAGACCTGGTGGTTTAGAATGCACAGATAATACTCATGCTGTGGCTGACATTATATTTATGCCATTGCGAGTAAAGGAGACAAAATGGTAAGTTTAAATGTTTATGACTTCTTATTCAAGCTAATATAATAATTATTTGAAAATTAAGACCATTCAATGAACTGGGTAGTTTCCTTGGTCAAAAATAAATTAATTCGACATTTCGATACAATAAATTATTGAAAAATATCTACACTTTTATTTATAGATCAATCAATACACTAAGTTTAAGATATTTTTTAGCTAATTTTTTAAGAAATAAGTAAGCTATTTGACGCAAAAATACAATGACGTCATAGCTCAGTTTTTCATACAAATTTCATAGAAAAGTATCGTTTTTGACATTTGGATAAATGTATTGAATTTGACTAGTTGGAAACTACAGTATTGCACCACTTGTCGGCGGACAGCGAGCAAGGACAAGAGAACTAGACCCTTTGCCTGGCTGAGGTACTGGGCAAGACGGGCACAATAATGTATCGCGGCTTGGAGCAGGATTGGAAATGAAATTGAATTTACTCAGTTAGTCATTAAGAGTCACGCGGGGTATACTCATAGATTGATATACAAATAATGTAATTGTGAGTGTTGAATGATGTACATGCATGTAATAAACATTATATTGGCGCAGGAACTGGGAGGTGGTGGTCGTGACGTACGACGGCAAGCTGCGCGGGTACCTGGTGTCGCAGACGGACGCCTGCAAGCTGCACCACTCCTTCCGATTCCCGGGCGGGGTCGCCGCGCTCAGGTACTGCGAGCCTCATTCCACTATGTATGTTGCTGGGGTACCCAGAGGATCCGCCAAGGTGAGTCACAAGTATACTAATATAAACATTATATAACCGGTGTAAATACACAAAAACAAAATACGCGTCGAATTGAGAACCTCTTCCTTTTTTTAAGTCGGTAAAAAATTACTTTTTCCATATCCACACACAAGTGAACTTGTGTTGATTTACATTTCCTGTTCTGGCACCTGTGTTGAGCAACCATATGTAAAGAGAAGCGACAAAAATAAAAAGACGCAACCTTCATGAAATCCAGTTACACTTTTTCTTTAAATGTATATGTAGGTAGCTGTCAGGGGTGATAGTAAGTGCAGCCAGATTGTGTCTGTTATTGCATTGAGACCTTTCAAGAACACAACATTACCTACCTACTGACTTATTTGGTACTAGCTTTTGCCCGCTACTCCGTTCGCGTGGAACAGTGAGATTTGTGGTATAAAAACTATCCTATGTCCTTTCTCGAGTTCCAAACTATGTCTGTACCAAATTTCACAGAAATCGGTTCAGTACTTTAGGCGTGAAGAAAAGACAGACAGACAGATAGAGTTACTTTTGCATTTATAATATTAGTTTGGATTGTCAAATTATTTATTGGATAGTTTCGTCAATCAAAAAACAGTAAATTCAACCTACATATTTGTACATTGACACATACTTATAATTGATATCAAGAAATACGTAAATATAAATAGATGTAAAACAATACGAAGTTAGCACACACAGTCGCGTATAAACCTGGAAGAAAATAATTAAGATTTATCTATCGTCGTTGAGCGAAAGTAAGTATCATTGGAGAGGGAATGAGATTGGAAATTGTTAACAGGAGCCGACGAGCGCCTTGAGCGCGGGGCTCACGGCGTGGCGCATCCTCAACGAGGAGCCGTACTACAAGCTGTCCGTCGTGTCCGACGACCCCGACGCGCTCGCTGCCGAGCGGTTCAACTTTTACGTGCCCTTTGGGTATTCTAGCAATCTGGTGAGTCTGCTGATGCTGTACGACATCTAATTGCTTGTCTGTCGAACTTGATGATTATCAGCTATGTTCTTTTAAATTGTTTTACCGAATACCCAACCGTGCTTCATTCGTTCTAAATTTTTCTATCAGGCTTTCATAGTCCAAATGGAGATCTCTCCGGACGGCACAAGGCTTGTTTGTCTGCACTGCAATGGCGACGTGTCGGTGTGGCGCCTGCCTCTACTGAAGCTGGAGTACCGCTGGCCGCTCGGGAGTCAGCCTCACCACGATCTCAGGAACCCCCTCGCTGGAGACGAGAAGCCAGGAAAGAAGAAGGATCTCTCCGTGTTCTACCCGGCTGATATCAACTGGTGGAGTAATGAGGTAAAAATTCAAAATGAAATATGATAATTTTTTTAACCCACTAAAAAGGAGAATGGTTCTCAATTCGACGATATATACTACTCTGTCAAATCAATAATACACAAAATGTTTGTTATTCATCTAAATTTATTTTATCACCTTCAAAGTATGCTCCTTCAGAAACGATACACTTACGCCAACGAATAATCCAATCATCGAAACTTTTTTTAAACGCTGTTTCCGGAATTGAGTTCAGTGCTCGCCGCGAATTCTCCTTTATGTCTTCTAACGATTGAAAACGGGTGCCACGAAGGGGTAATTTGAGTGTGGGAAAAAGAAAGAAGTCGGCTGGAGCCATATCTGGTGAATATGGTGGCTGCTCGATGGTGTTTGTTGAGTGTTTGGACAAAAAATCGTTTACAATGATGGCCTTGTGCGAAGGCGCGTTATCGTGATGCAAAATCCAAGAATTTTCTTTCCACATTTCTGGCCTTTTTCGTCGAATTTGTTCTCTTAAAGGCCGCATAACGCTCAAATAATATTCTTTATTTACCGTTTGACCTTCGGGCAAGAATTCTGAGTGCACAACACCGCGATAGTCAAAGAAAACAGTCAACATGACTTTGACTTTTGATCGACTTTGACGTGGTTTTTTCAGTTTTGGTTCAGTTGGAAGGCGCCATTCCGAAGCTTGTTGACTAGTTTGCATGTCAAACTCGTAAACCCACGTCTCGTCACCAGTAACAATGCGTTTCATGAATGTTGGGTCGGTATTGACTCGTTCTAGCATGTCCTCAGCGACTTTCATGCGATCTAGTTTTTGAAGAAAATTCAGGTCTTTTGGGACTAGCCGAGCGGCAACACGTTTCATACCCAAATTATTTGTTAAAATGGTACGGATCGACTCGTGAGATACAGAAAGTTCGGCGGCCATCTCTCTTAAACTTGAATGAGGATTTTCAGTCACTATTTCCTTCACTTTTGCGATGTTAACTTCAGTTGCAGACGTTGATGGCCTACCAGAACGAGGCAAATCTTCCATCACATCTAGACCGCTTTTGAACGCTTTGTACCCCTCATAAGCACGTGTTTTTGATAAAGTCGATTCACCGTAAGCCTTCTGTAACATTTTGAGTGCCTCCGAACACGAAATTTCATTGGCGATGCAAAATTTAAGACAAACTCTTTGTTCGATGTTTTTGTCCATTATGAAATTCGCAATACACACTAGATATTATAAAACTAAAAACAGCACTGTTTTTAATATAAATAACAGATGCAACTCAAATTCCGCGCCAAAATGGAAAACAGTTATGCCAATCTAACAACAACAAAAAAAAATTAAAATTCGAATTTGGAACCATAAAAAAAAACATTCATTCCCGATACTTTGTTGACTGAAAGTAATATGGTTGAGTTGGGAGGTGCTGGTGTACGTGTCATGTTCGTGGACGGGCGCCGCCTATTGGGACTGGTCATCTCCAGGCTGTCTAAATATGTTGTCTTTGAGGTTCACTTCTTTTTCGTACTTTTTGCCTGAACATTAGTGTTACATTTTTCTCACATATCAGAACCGACTAAATGATGTAACAAAGAAATGTATTGTAAAACTGATTGAAAAAGAGTAACCATGGAGTTTCTTGCTCGTTCTTCTCCATAGGAATCTACACTTTGGAACGAGCGAATAGCTTCACTAGAGGACAGACGGACAGACTGACACGCTTAATTTTAAAGCTCTTGTTATATCCTTTTTTTGCTTGCTTGACGTTCAAAAGTGCCTACTGTGGTCTAATTGAAATAAATGATTTTTGACTTTGACTTTGACTTCATCTTTATGTTTGAAACATAAACAATTTGAAACATAGACCATCGGCAAGTTGTAGCGTTGTGAAAAGCCTACTAAAACCATATGCAAAAGCACCACTCGCCCCTACAATTTTTGTAAGTTCTCCTCGATTTCTCTGGTCTTTCATCATCAGATGCTAATTTTCTTCTCATGGGACCATTCTGAGACTATCTCCTTTCCAACAAAGAAAATATTATCACAATCGGTTCATAAATATAGGAGATATCGGCGAACAAACATAAAAAAGCATATACATCCAGTCAACAAAGTATCGGGAATGAATGTTTTTTTTATGGTTCCAAATTCGAATTTAATTTTTTTTTTTGTTGTTGTTAGATTGGCATAACTGTTTTCCATTTTGGCGCGGAATTTGAGTTGCATCTGTTATTTATATTAAAAACAGTGCTGTTTTTAGTTTTATAATATCTAGTGTGTATTGCGAATTTCATAATGGACAAAAACATCGAACAAAGAGTTTGTCTTAAATTTTGCATCGCCAATGAAATTTCGTGTTCGGAGGCACTCAAAATGTTACAGAAGGCTTACGGTGAATCGACTTTATCAAAAACACGTGCTTATGAGGGGTACAAAGCGTTCAAAAGCGGTCTAGATGTGATGGAAGATTTGCCTCGTTCTGGTAGGCCATCAACGTCTGCAACTGAAGTTAACATCGCAAAAGTGAAGGAAATAGTGACTGAAAATCCTCATTCAAGTTTAAGAGAGATGGCCGCCGAACTTTCTGTATCTCACGAGTCGATCCGTACCATTTTAACAAATAATTTGGGTATGAAACGTGTTGCCGCTCGGCTAGTCCCAAAAGACCTGAATTTTCTTCAAAAACTAGATCGCATGAAAGTCGCTGAGGACATGCTAGAACGAGTCAATACCGACCCAACATTCATGAAACGCATTGTTACTGGTGACGAGACGTGGGTTTACGAGTTTGACATGCAAACTAGTCAACAAGCTTCGGAATGGCGCCTTCCAACTGAACCAAAACTGAAAAAACCACGTCAAAGTCGATCAAAAGTCAAAGTCATGTTGACTGTTTTCTTTGACTATCGCGGTGTTGTGCACTCAGAATTCTTGCCCGAAGGTCAAACGGTAAATAAAGAATATTATTTGAGCGTTATGCGGCCTTTAAGAGAACAAATTCGACGAAAAAGGCCAGAAATGTGGAAAGAAAATTCTTGGATTTTGCATCACGATAACGCGCCTTCGCACAAGGCCATCATTGTAAACGATTTTTTGTCCAAACACTCAACAAACACCATCGAGCAGCCACCATATTCACCAGATATGGCTCCAGCCGACTTCTTTCTTTTTCCCACACTCAAATTACCCCTTCGTGGCACCCGTTTTCAATCGTTAGAAGACATAAAGGAGAATTCGCGGCGAGCACTGAACTCAATTCCGGAAACAGCGTTTAAAAAAAGTTTCGATGATTGGATTATTCGTTGGCGTAAGTGTATCGTTTCTGAAGGAGCATACTTTGAAGGTGATAAAATAAATTTAGATGAATAACAAACATTTTGTGTATTATTGACTTTTTCCCGGTACTTTCTTGACAGAGTAGTATAGGGAATTGGGCGATCCAGTGCCCGTGCCACCGCCAATGAGACGTCTGAGTGAGCATGACAGCTCCCAGCCGACACAAGTACCCATATTCTACAAGTCTTACTTAATTATAATAGGTTACAGGGCACTCACATTTACAAAAACTTAGAATATCATCAACAATTAACAACATAGTGTACAATTTAATAATTAAACTCAAAAATTCCTCTAAACATCCTGTGGAGTAGGACCAGCTAGCCTCCAAGCATTTTTATCTCGTATATAATCATTTAGTTTGTAGTATGCTAGTTTACATAAATGTTTCTTTATACATAATTTAAATTTGCTTTCATTTAGATTTTGAATTTCAACTGGGATTTTATTATAACATTTAACACAGAAACCCAGGAATGACTTATGCACTTTTGCCAATCTAAATAAAGGCTGACTCAATCTATTCTATATGTCTAGTATGATAATCATGTTTGTCAGATACCTTTACAAATAAGTGTAGGTTTTTCCTTATACATAATGTTTTCATAAATAAATTGACTCGGTACGGTCAGAATGTTGATCTCCTTAAACTTTTCTCTGAGAGATTCGCGACGACCTAAGTTGTATATAGCTCTGACGGCACGCTTTTGCAAGATAAAGATAGACTCAACGTCGGATGCCTGTCCCCACAACAGAATTCCATACGACATGATGCTGTGAAAGTAGCTAAAGTACACTAGTCGTGCCGTGCCTACATCGGTTAGCTGACGGATCTTCCAGACAGCATAAGCTGCAGAGCTCAATCGCCCTGCTAGAGACCTGATGTGGGGCTCCCATTGCAACTTCTCATCTACAGTGATCCCCAGAAAAGTAGTCTCTTTTACAAATTCTAGTTTCTGATCATTTAATAATATATCATCACATACGTTACTTTTAACATTTGGTAAAATAAATCTAATGCATTTAGTCTTTTTATCATTTAGTAATAAGTTGTTTATTGTAAACCAATTTTGAACCTTCATTAAGGCATTATTAACTTCGTCATATTTGTTTGTTCGTCTATTTATTTTAAAAATCAATGAAGTGTCATCGGCGAATAATACCATATGCGGTTCATTTTGGAACAAATGGGGCAGGTCATTCACATAAACTAAAAATAGAAAAGGACCTAATATTGAGCCCTGCGGTACGCCCATAGATACGCTAGCACCCAGTGAGTTAACTTTGTTGACTTGTACTTTAATTTTTCTTTCTTGAAGGTATGATTTCAATAAATCTAGGGATACCCCCCGAATGCCGTAGTGTTCCAGCACAGTAGTGATGAGATGAGATTACAATGTTAAAGATATGTAAACGATCGAATAATAAACTTCGATGTGCGTCTCGTGATTATCCATCTCGGGATGACTCGCGAAGGTATAAGTAATTAATATTTAACCATTCTCATTTTAAAGCTACTTTTGCTAAATTAATTATGTTAGCTACGCGTGAAAATGTAGTGAACGCATTGAGCGAGTGCCGCAACCACTGGGTGCGGTGGTGTGGCGCTGACTAGTGACGATTCTTTGTTAAGTCGCTTTCATACGAGTACACTGAGCTATCTGTGACTTTAGCACTCGTGTGTACCATATTATTATTATATAGGTCATTTTCAACATGAAACCCGGTTACCATAATAATACTAAACTAACTTTCGTACATTATAGTTTAATTAATTAATTTAATTTATATTTATTGATAATACGATTAGAAAAGAATGAGGCATATCAACTAACTACACACACATATACACTTTGATCAATTGATTAATTTTGTCTGTCCTTTGCAGGAAATAATAGTATCGCGATTTAGTGGAGCAGTCACAATTTGCGATGTCGAAACGATGGCTAACATTCTGGGGAAGAAACCTGAATTTTTCCAGGGGACGCCGCAGGTACTTTGTGCTTCGAAGAAATGTGGCGCGGAAGGTGTGTAGTGTTGCGTAATGTCTGTGTTTGTCGCGAGCAGGTGACGCGGGCGCACGCCGGCGCGCTCATGGTGCTGGAGTGCGAGACCAACGTGTTGCCCGCCAAGAAGGCGCGCAGCGATGACTCCGTGAGTACCCGTCCACGTGGACACTGTCGCCCCTTGCTTCGCCGAACCCAATGCGCAACTGTCAATCTGTTGTAGATGGAAGTGGTAAAGGTTGAAAGTGATCCCGAAGACACGATGCTCGAGCTGGCGAAGGAGCTGATCAAGTCTGTGCTGTACGCCATCACGGACATCGAGACGTTCCAGCCCAAGCCGCGGCGCATCACTGTAGTGTCGCGCGTCTACCGCTTGCTCGGCCTCAGGAGCACCACGCCCTCTGAACTGTTTTCTAGGAAGGTAGGTCGCAGGCAGCGCCTCCCGACCTGGAGGGGACTTACTGAGCTGTGTGTGCGGTCCCGCAGATAGAGAGCGGCGCGTACGGCGAGGCGCTGGCGCTGGCGGACGCCTTCCGGCTCGACAGCGACCGCGTCTACCAGCAACAGTGGAGGACCAACCCCGTCTCCAGCGACGCCATCCACAACTATCTGGTCAGTAGCCGCCCTCATTTATGTCTACTTCTACCAGAAGTCTCCAGCAATAGTAGGCACATCATTTTGTCGACAAATCTTTAGTAGTAATAAGGAAATGACGCGTCTACAGGGTCAGACGTCGCTTCTGGACCGAGTGTCCAGCAGTAGTACTACAGTAGTAGACCAGTAGCCCGCAGTGTGGCCTGTCGCACTACTACTGGTGGCCCGTGCTGCCAGTATCCGGCCGGAGTACTACAGTAGTAGACCAGTAGCCCGCAGTGTGGCCTGTCGCACTACTACTGGTGGCCCGTGCTGCCAGTATCCGGCCGGAGTACTACAGTAGTAGACCAGTAGCCCGCAGTGTGGCCTGTCGCACTACTACTGGTGGCCCGTGCTGCCAGTATCCGGCCGGAGTACTACAGTAGTAGACCAGTAGCCCGCAGTGTGGCCTGTCGCACTACTACTGGTGGCCCGTGCTGCCAGTGTCCGGCCGGAGTACTACAGTAGTAGACCAGTAGCCCGCAGTGTGGCCTGTCGCACTACTACTGGTGGCCCGTGCTGCCAGTATCCGGCCGGAGTACTACAGTAGTAGACCAGTAGCCCGCAGTGTGGCCTGTCGCACTACTACTGGTGGCCCGTGCTGCCAGTGTCCGGCCGGAGTACTACAGTAGTAGACCAGTAGCCCGCAGTGTGGCCTGTCGCACTACTACTGGTGGCCCGTGCTGCCAGTGTCCGGCCGGAGTACTACAGTAGTAGACCAGTAGCCCGCAGTGTGGCCTGTCGCACTACTACTGGTGGCCCGTGCTGCCAGTATCCGGCCGGAGTACTACAGTAGTAGACCAGTAGCCCGCAGTGTGGCCTGTCGCACTACTACTGGTGGCCCGTGCTGCCAGTATCCGGCCGGAGTACTACAGTAGTAGACCAGTAGCCCGCAGTGTGGCCTGTCGCACTACTACTGGTGGCCCGTGCTGCCAGTGTCCGGCCGGAGTACTACAGTAGTAGACCAGTAGCCCGCAGTGTGGCCTGTCGCACTACTACTGGTGGTCTGTGCTACTACATTTGTAAACTTTTCCATTCTTCGTGGACTTCGTGCAAATTATATAAAAATGACATAACACACATATGTATTAGTTTGCAGCTTGCAATATAGCATTGAGTAAGTAATGTAATGTTGTAGAGCAAAGTGTCGAAGAAGATCTGGGTGGTACACCAGTGCGTGGACCGACTGCCGGAGACTTTGCCCGCCGCCAAGGAATTGCTCGAGTTCGGCCTCCAACTCACCAACGACACTATCATGGACGGTAACAACATGCTTAAACTACATTTTGCATCAGGTTACGGAATGATAAAGTTGAGAATCGATGAAAGCAATGCCCCTCAGAGATCAACAAAGAGCTGGAGTCCCCGCTGGCGGGCCCGGGGCAGGTCCGGCCGGAGCACCTCAACGCGTACACCAGCGAGCTGCTGCGCTGTCGGCATGTCATGCTGTTCTACAGGGAGAGGCTCCGTCTCTACGAGGTAATTATTTTTTATTTTCATTTTACGTTTCCAAACTGGTTATTTTTTACTAAGCATTATTTTATTGCGCGATTTTGATAGTTAGACTACGTACTAGCTACTTGAGACTTTGAGAAGGAAAATAACGACGGAAGCATCTTCTCTAACAATGCTGTTACAGAAGACGCGATTACGGGACGTATTTAAGTCGCGGGTCGCATGAATTTTTATGTATTGACGCATCAGTAAGACGAGTAGGTAATGGTTGTCCTATATGTTAAAACACTTCAGAGCTGTAAATCATTGAGGAAGTCTCTCGTCTGCCAATGATAAATGTCCATCATCAGACAGAATGCAGACCTTCATTGTAACCCATATAGGTGCAAAGTTCTCATTGTAACTATCCTTCGTATTCATTATCAGGCCTGCCAGTCACCGTCTGTCTATGTATAAAGTTGTTATCAATACAAATTAATGTAGCAGTAACAAAGTATCTGCTGTGAATCGTTGAAGAGTTCCCTCGACCGTCTCTCACCGCCATCCTCAGTTTCATATAGAAAGTGTGTGTCATTAAATCCAGCAAAACTCTGAACTTACGTTTAAGTTACGTAATAAAAATCAAAAACCATGTATTACGCCTGGCCTTATCAGATGTATGAAACACAGAGACAAACTGCACACAAAAGCCAAACGTAATCCAGACAATATGGATCTACAATTATCTTATAAGCGATACAGAAATGATCTGCTTAAGGAAGTTAAAACTAACTACAATACTGAGATTACCAATATATGACTTTAAAAGATGACAGTGCTGGTGGCTGCGACAATATCTCTAACAAAATTTTAAAACAAACAATCCGGCTCCTTGGATTACGCCTGTCATTTCGGATGCTATGGCTCGCAGAGATAGGGCCAAACAAAAGTTGAAGCGCAGGACTACCGAAGAAAATTTTGCATGCTATAAATATTTACGCAATCGGTGCAATCGTCTGTGTAGGGATGCCAGGAGACGATACTTTGACGATAACCTAACTAATCACAACGCTGGTGATGTTTGGAAGTTCCTACGTTCTGTGGGTATCGGCAAAGCCCCAATTAATGTTAGTAAAGATGTTGACCTTACCTCCCTAAACCATCACTTCTCCCTCTCCCCTGTTTCTCTTGACTGCCTTACTAAATCTATCACTCTTCTCGATCTTTGCTCCTCTTCACCTCCCTCCTTTTCTCCTTTTGAGCTCAGTAGTGTCTCTGAAGATGATGTTAGAAAATCTATGCTCGCCATTAACTCCTCGGCGGTGGGTGAGGATGGTTTATGCTCCCGCATGTTTACCCCTATTCTAAATCACCTTCTCCCTATCCTTACTCACATTTTCAATTTCTCCTTATTCTCTTGCTCCTTCCCTTCTGCCTGGAAAAATGCCCATATTATCCCTTTACCTAAAATCAACAATCCCTCGTCTCTTACTCATTACCGACCTATTTCCATCCTGCCTTTTCTGTCTAAAGTTATGGAACATATTGTTCACAGGCAGCTAACTTCATTCGTAACATCTAGCAACCTTATCTCTCCCTATCAATCTGGCTTTCGCCCCGGCCATAGCACTGTCACGGCACTGCTCAAAGTAACCGATGACATACGCTGGGCCATGGACAACAAGTCCCTTACTGTTCTTGTGCTGTTGGACTTCAGTTCTGCCTTCAACTCTGTGGATTTTGACATACTGTTGGGGGTCCTGAAGGCCAATAATTTTTCTGTTTCCTCTTTAGCCTGGTTTGAGTGATATCTTCGGGGTCGCCGTCAGCGGGTCCGCCTCGAGGAAACCTTATCCGATTGGTGCGACCTTGCGACCGGGGTCCCTCAGGGTGGCGTCCTCTCTCCTCTGCTTTTCTCCATCTTTATCAATAACGTTGCCAGGGTCATTTCTTGTAATTACCATCTCTATGCGGACGATTTGCAGCTGTACCGTCACTTCGGCATGTCTGAAGCTCATTCTGCTATCGATGCCATGAATCGTGACTTGGATGGTGTTGCTGAGAGGGCCAGATCTTTTGGCCATCAAATCAATCCTCTCAAGTCTCAGGCCATGATCATCGGTAGCAGATATTATCGTAACACTTTCGACGTCTCTGGCCTCGGTCCATTGCGTTTGAATGGTACAGCGATTCCATTTACCGATAGTGCTAAAAACTTAGGTGTACTCATTGACTCGAATTTATCGTGGGATGCCCAGGCGAATGAAGTCAGTCGGAAGGTTCATTTTTCTATTCATTCGCTGAGGCGCCTCCAGACCCTGCTGCCTGTGAAAACAAAGATTTACCTTGTCCAAGCGCTGATCATGCCTCTGATGGACTATGCAGATGCTTGCTATCTGGATGCCACTGAGGAGCTATTAAATAAACTTGAGCGATTGCAAAATCTATGTATCCGCTTTGTATTCGGTCTTAAGAAGTATGATCATGTCTCCGAATTCCGCAATAGGCTCAAGTGGCTCCCTATCCGTCTTCGCAGGAACACTCGCATTTTATGTCTCCTCTACAATCCAACTTATCCCGCTTACCTCCGTGACCGTTTCTCCTTGGTGCGTCCTCCTGAAGTCCTAACTCGTTCTCAAGTCCAACCTTAAAATCGTGCCTCATAATACCGACTTCTTCTCCTATTCTTTCACCGTTTATGCTGTGAGACTGTGGAATTCTCTCCCGCCTAACATTCGTGACGCTCAGTGACGCTAAATCGCTCGCTCTGTTCAAAAAACTAGCACTGGTCAACACTGGTTTTGCCACACGAACTTTGATAGCTAATTTTGTTTTATCAATCTACCCTCATTATTAAATCACAGTTGCCATATGTCAATTAGCCTCCTATTTGTTGTGATACGGTAATACTCATTAACTAGTACTACGGCAGTAAATTAACAGAAACGCTTACAAGTAAATCGTTATAAAAATATTTATCGTTGAATTTGAACACTTTTTTGGGATTTATTAATCCTGTGAGCATGTCAAGGAAGTGTATTAATGATCCTAACTGTTTTTGTTATGTCTGCGGAAAACTTACATTCAAAAAACAACGACGAAATTTTACAAATCTTGTGATGGAGTGTTATCACCAATGTTTTGGTTTTTCTGTCGCCCATCAAGACAAATCCTGGGCCCCTCATGTCTGTTGCATAACGTGTGTGAAAAATTTAACTGACTGGAAAAAAGGTGCACGACCTATGCCGTTTGCTGTACCCATGATATGGACTGAACAGCGAGATCACGTTTCAGATTGCTATTTTTGTCTCACTGACGTAAAAGGTATAAATTACAAGAAAAAAACACAGTTATTTACCCAAATTTATCTTCGGCTATAAGACCAGTCTCTCATTGTAAAAAATTGCCAGAACTAATACCAGTTGCAACTACGTCTGTTGAGAACGACAATTCACAACCGTCTACTTCAAGTGTATGTGTTGACGAGGACGATGATTTTGAGTTTGAAGAAATAACAAAGGAGCCACATTTGATAACTCAAGGAGACCTAAATGATTTGGTTCGAGATTTAAATTTGTCAAAAAAACAGAACTATTAGGATCTCGTCTAAAAGAATGGAATTTGCTACATCATAATACAAAAGTTAGCTATTTTCGAAACCGTGATCAACACTTCAGAATGTATTTTTCTCAGGATGGAGATTTGGTGTTTTGCAATAACATAAATGAGCTTATGAAAATGTTGGACATAGATTTTGATCTCTCTCAGTGGCGTTTATTCATTGATTCTTCGAAAGCAAGTCTAAAAGCAGTTTTATTGCATAATGGAAATAAGCTTCCGTCTGTACCTGTGGCCCATGCTGCAAATATGAAAGAAACCAACCAGAAGCTAAATATTCAAGAAAATCTTAGATTTTCTAAGTCATTTATAAAAAAATAAACTTTTGATTTACGAGATCCGTATTTTTTCTTAATATTTTAAAGTACTCAATAGAATAAAATCTTTGTCTAGCAAATTTTTTTTTAACTGTTTATTTTTTATTACAATCACCAATTAAAGTAAAAAATATCAAAAAAGTCCATGTGGCACGACAAAGTTGAAATTTTGTTGACCAGTGTAGTTAAAGACCATTACCTTTCTTCATGAGTACTTACAGTTACGTTTATTTATATGTGTATCTTATTTATTGTTATTATTATATATTAAGTATTTATATTTATATGATATATATATATACATATATTACCTATTTGTTATCGTTAGTTCTTTTTTTTTCACTTTTGTTACACACTGTGTCTTATATTTTAATTACATTTCCTGTCTCAGGTCTACTGGAAGAAATTCCAACAGGAATAAGTAGCACCTTTGTACTCTTATTTTTTTATGTATTTTCCTCTGTGTTGTTTGTGTGTACATAAATTATTAAATAAATAAATAAACAATTTAGAAACATTTTGATTCCACCTTTGACCTGTATTCCCCCTATGTTTATCATCAGGTATCTTTCCCGCGTGTCTTAAAAAGTCCGTTATTATTCCGGTATATAAAACAGGCAGTAAAGAGCAACTAACAAACTATAGACAAAAGCAAAAAGTACAAAACACTTTCATAACATTTTTTTTGTATACCTTAGACCTATCCCATACAACAAACTGAATGCGACTTTATCCTTTTACTCCCACAATGTTATACATGTAAAAAGATCCTAATTGAAGCACTTCGATGGAACACTAAGTATAGTTCGTTCCATAATTAGAGACAACAATTTGACAACAGCAAATGTCAAACTACAAAATAATGTGGCCAGATTTTTTAACATAGTGATGGGCCCGAGTACGATTTTTTAAATAAAATACCGATACCGTTTTTTTTTATAAAATACCATGAGCAAAATAAAACAACGTAGCGGTGATGTTTTTTATAGTTTAGTCGAATTAATAATAATAATATAAAATAAAAATGCGAAATTCAAGACTGGCTAAAAGAAAAACATTATATTTGAGGAACTTATGCTGAAAGCCGAGCTGTTGGAGATTTCCCGGAAAGAGAAGAGTAATTATAAGGGGGGTCACTAGTTTACGGTTGCCTCCTTACCATTGTGATTTTAAACCGACTGAGTTAGTATGGGCACAGGAAGGTACCAGGGAAAGTAGCTAAAAATAATAAAGCTTTCAAAATGCACAAAGTCCAGAATTTGATTTCGGTCTGTCGGTCAATACCGGTCGCGGGACTTCACTATTTATGAAATGGAAAAAACTTGCAACACTCGAAATGTCAAATCGTTGTCTCTAATTATGGAACGAACTATAAATATCTGTAGTGAAGAGTTTTTTTTTTTTTAATTGCAAGTGCATAATGTAGGTTCTACGCTCACTAGTTATTTTGGGCGGACGTCGTTGACCTGTAGCCTTAGCTGATTTGTTGTTTGAAGTTAATTTTGTGACAGTGTTTACTTTATGTAATAAATAGTGGTAAATTACTGCCTAAAGCCGACGTTGCATGAGAAACACGAAAAACAAAAACTATAAATTGTCAGACTAAATAAAATTAGTTTTTATTGGTACTTATTTGTTTGGTTATTACCTGTTTTCGTTTTCATGAGCGATTTCCTTCGACCCAGTGTAGGGTGACGTTTGACTAGGAATGGACAAGTATGCAATGAGCACGTGGTAGTAGATAGTGAGGATACCGGACGTGAGGTAGTAAAAGATCGTGGTGTGTCGGCAGTCGATCCTGAAAAGCGAGAAGTCGACGTACGTGAAGGACGAGTACGACCGGCTGCGTAGCAACAGCGTGGTGGCGAGCGCGCTGGGCATGGCGCGCGCCGGCCGCGTGGCGGCGCTGGCCTGTCTGTGGCCGCAGCTGGGCGGGGCCGCGCGCCGCGCCGCGCTGGCCGCGCTGCCCGAGGTGCTGTCGCCGCTGCGGTACCGCGCCCTGCTGCCCGCGCCCGTAGCGCCCGCGTCGCCCGCGCCGCCCATAGCGCCCGCGCCCGACCGCGACTGGTGCCGCGACCACATCTTCAGGTCGCCTCTCTTACTCTTCCTTACTTACCTTACTCCTACTCCACTTACACTTACTCCTACCTTTATCTGCTTACACCTATGCTCCACTTACACTTACTCCTACCTTTATCTGCTTACACCTATGCTCCACATTACTTCTCCCGCCCTCCGTCGAACGAAACGGCCTAAGCCGGCAGTGCCGGACCGAGGGCCGGTCGAACGCAACGCGTAGTACCACACGCTCGGGTCCGGTTCTGTTCGGGTTGCAAAATACCGCTACTAAAAAAGGGCATAAATATGATGACGACTATAAAATGCTTTGATACCCTTAGTTTTGTAACCAAACATCTACATAACTCCAGAAAAATAAAGTCTAAAAATACAATAGTAGCAGCTACTTTAGTCACGAGTCACGACTCCACTTTAAATTGTATTCGATCACCAAATTGAGTAAATTATCACCAAATCTTGACAACCAAATTAATGTATTATTTTTGTACAAACAAATCACTATGATTGCAATAAAATGTAGGCTTACTATCAAATATCTAAATATTAACTTAAAAGGCCTAACCCACGGCTCGGTGGATTCCGCCTTTTCCGGCAATGACAAACTTCCTGCATTTGTATCAAAATCTATACTTATATTATAAAGAGGTAATATTTGCAAGTTTGTATGTAGGAAGTAATCTTTGGAACCGCTAGTCGGATTCCCAAAATTCTTTCACTTATTGATAGCTCCAATGTTCCTGAGAGCTATAGGCTATATAATATCACGCTACAATTAAATGGAGCCGAGCAGCGGGTGAAACCGCGCGAGAGTAACTAGTTATTTCTATATAGTTGTATAAATCGGATAAAGACCAGGGTAGAAGCCTTTAAAAATAATAAAAAGTGAAAAAATAATAGTACGATGAAACCCATTAGAAAACGAGGGGAATATTATAAAAATGAAACAAAAAATAATTTACGGGCGATCTGAGGTCGGGAAGTGAACGGGGGTGAGTTTTTAAGGGTAAAAACGGGTTTTCTCGAATTCCAGCAAAACTAAAAGTCCTATCGAAAAAAGCCATATGGCAAAGTTGTAGGTAATAAAAAGATCTAAAGAAAAAAATATTTTTCCATTCATTGGTTTTAATAATTATCTACCCTGGTCTAATAAGAAATGTAATGTTTAGCATGTCATTTTAAATTGAAATGTGTTTAATAATAATTTGATTTTCATTATCTTTGGGGTCAGTTTAGTCAGTAAAAACGCTGATATAATTTTGGTGATCATTTACTACTTTTAGACTAGCAATGATTTATTTGGACTAATTTTGCTTAAATAGGATAGCATAATTTAAAAACTTTGGTTTGTAATGTTTTAATTTAAAATGTTGGTTATAATGTTACATTAAAATGCGAGTTTCATTTTGGTGACCATTTACTATTGTTATCTGCTATTTGTTTGCGACTGTTACATAATGCGTGAAGTGAGTAATTTATAATTTGATTCAGGTCAATTTGGAGCTCGAACTGGTCGGAAGATTCGAGTCCTGAAAACGAAACCGCCGGTGCTATACCGGCTGATTCGGAGGAGCTGGCGAAGTGGTACGAGACGCGAGCGAGAGAGATAGAAGAACGCAGCGGGCTCGTGTCGCACGCGCTGACGCTGCTGTCGCTGGCGGCCGACGCGGGGGTGGGGGGGCTGGCCGACGTCATGTTCCACCTCACCACGCTCGACGTGCTCGTCTACGACATCAACGTCGAGGGCGTCACGCTGCAGCAAGTGCAGGCCATGTCGCCCTTGGAAGTCTGCACCATGCTCATGAAGATGGTCAGTTTCTTTTGGGAAGAAAGGGGGATTTGGGTCACTCACACGGCCAAACACAACACAATCGTGGTTCATTTGATTTTAATTGTTTAAACTACAAGTTTTGCGTTTCCGCAGTCTACGCCTCAGACGTTCGTTTCGGACTTGAAGCAGTTCGTGTTGCCGTACCTGAAACGGTACGAGAGCCTGACCAAGAGCAAGGACTCGTGCACCAGCGGCCTCATCGCGTACCTCGAGAGCGTCAGCGTGGAGGACCTCTCGCCCATACTGCTGGTGAGTCACTCTGCCGCCCCGCCTTCTGTGCTACGTCACACCCAAACCTACTAAAAGGAAGATAATGACATTCAAATATTTTTTGGCTATTTATTATGTTAACCCAGAAAATGTGAAACATGCGAATTTCCAAAACACATCGGAAAGTGTCGTCATTGTCACGGCTAAAAACCAGAATCAACATTAATTCTGACGACAGAAAGGCAATAGCAATCCCATTTTGGGGTAAGTTGTGCCGTAGTTGTTGGTTGTTCCGTTGATTTACGCGAATGAAAATTGATTTACAATTTTATAATAATATATATTTTCGTTACACTTCTATATTATAAAAGAAAGTCCTGTTAGTTACTTCACTTATAGCTACATTTTTGTTTGACAAAATCTCTGTTTGAGTATTTAAATAAAGTTTCCTCCAGCCTCATTGTTTATTACATGTTATCCATTTAGCCTATCTTCCTATCAGCTGATTTCAGCTTTCCAATTCATAAATCTCTACAACTCTGAGTGCGGTGTTGCGGGTAGTCAGATAGAAAAATTATAATATTTGTATCTGGCTTTTTCTACTATTACTTATTGCCAAAGGAATCGTATTACAAGTTCATACGTAGTCGGTGTGTAGTATAATGGTAAGATACCGTGTGGCAGGTGGCGCGCGCGCCGGACGAGGTGGGGCTGGAGGCGCGCGCGCTGGCGCAGCTGGTGGAGCGCTGCGTGGCGGCGCACGCGCGCACCGACCAGCTGCACGTGGCCTGCGACCTGCTGCACGCGCTGCTCGCGCGCGCCGCCGGCCCCGACGTGCTGCGCCGCGCGCGCGCCGCCCAGCGCCTCGTCGCCGCCTGCGAGCGGCTGGCGGCGCGCGGTCTGCTCGTGCCGCCGCGCGACCTGCTGCGACTGCGGCCCGACGACGCGCGCGCCGCGCAGCTACTCACCAAGCTGGCGCGCTCGCTCGCGCTCAGGTACTCCTTGCTTCCGCAGCGCTGCCCGTTCTATTCATTATGTTAACTAATGGCCTGTAATTAATACAGGGAAGAAAAACCGACTCCACAAGACTGGGACAAGTTACTCAAAGACATACTGGAGCTGCAGAGCACTTTGTTCTGTCGTGTCACTAAGGATAAATGCTACGAGGTAAGTTGACTCTTGAATATTTCGCTGACGTTTCATCGAGCTGGCAAGCGTTGCGTTGCCGTCATGTGGCCACCGTGTGTAGATCTACGCGCTGGCGCTGCTGACGTCGGGCGACGCGGCCAGCATCAAGCTGGCGC